CCCTCCCTCCCTTCCTTCCTTCATAGAGACAAGATCTCTCTTATTTATTTATTTATTTGCAACGACAAGGTCTCTCTTTACCACCCTGGAGTACAGTGATGCAATCATAGCTCATTGCAGCTTCCAACTCCTGGGCTCAAGCCATCCTCAGCCTCCCAAGTAGTTGGGATTATAGATGTGGACCATAATGCCCAGCTAATTTTTAAAATTATGTTGTAAACAGAGGGTCTCACTATGTTGTCCAGGGTGGTCTCAAACTCCTGGCCTTAATTGATCCTCCTGCCTCAACCTCCCAAAGCACTGGGATTTTAGGCATGAACTGCCACATCTGACGCTGGTCTCTTCTTTCAGTGGAGTGTGTGTATACATACATTTGTAAACATTTGTTTGCATAGTGCAGATCGATCTGTTCAGTGTTTCCTAGGTTTCTTGAATATTTTAGTGTCAGAAGCTCATGTAACATATTCATAGGGTAAGTTTTAAAAATGTGATTAATTTATTGCTAAAAGGAGAGAAAAGGAGAAAAGGGAGAAAAAAGTTATTTTCAGTAATTAACTATTTTAATGACAGTTTGTACTCTCACATAAACATAATTGCTTCCATAGCATTTTTTAGTGATTTCGGTGAAGAGCATACTAATGCCCTTTTAATCTAATCAAGTGGGAACATGTGATCTCTTAGGTGTTAAGATGTTTATATTCTGTTTTTATCGTTTGCAGGGAGTCTTAAACCACTTTTTATAGACATGTTTACATGTGTATTATATTAGTTATCTGTTGTTGCTGAACAGAATATCATAAATGTTGTGGCTTAAAGTAAAGCAATTTAATTTTCTTACAGTTTTGAAGGAATAGAATCAGAGAAGTTAGATAACCTCCTCAAGGATGTTCAACTTCATACATGACAGAACTGGGATTCTAGCTGTTGTAGTCTGTTCGGAATGCCATAACAGAATACCACAGACTAGGTGACTTATAAACTTATAAGCCAGAAACTTATTTTACTTTATAAAATTTTATTTTATTCTGGTTTTAGAGGCTGAGAATTCCAAAATCAAGGTGCTGGCAGATTGGTGTCTGGTGAGGGCCTATTTTTTGCTTCATAGACCACTGCCTTCACTCTGTACCCTCACGTGGCAAAAGGGGTGAGGGAACTCTATTATAAGGCACTAATCTCTTTCATGAGGACTGTGCCCTTATGACCTAGTAACTACCCACAGGCTTCACCTCCAAATACCATCACATTGGGGATTAGGTTTCAACATTTGCGTTTTGGAGGGGTACAGACATTCAGTCTCAGCACTAGCCAAGATACTTTTGACTTCAAAGTGATTATTCTTAACCATCATACTTTATTGCCAACATTGTTGGCTTTGGAGGAAATTTAAATAATCAATATATATGACCACATTTCTAGATATAAGGAATTTAACTTTTTTTTTTAGTACTTTCATCAGTAAAATCTTAGACAGCATCCTACACTTGCTGAAACTTCAGATCATTATGTTTCATCTAAAAAATAAGGTTAAAACTCTAGAAAAATGATTTGATTTACCCAAAGTAACAGGCTGTGCTAAGTCATAGAGCCAGGCTGGATCATTTAGTTTCCCACTTCAGTCTTAAAACGTGGTTCATAAAGTTCATTTTTGTTATTCTCTTGCTTTCACTTCTGTATGTTTGAATTTCCAGATATTAAAGGAGATATTGAATTTCATTTTATTAAAAGTGTTTCTTTAAAATTGACAGAATATCAACTTGCAAGGCCTTCTGATGCAAACAGAAAGGAAATGTTGTTTGGAAGCCTTGCTAGACCTGGACATCCTATGGGGAAATTTTTTTGGGGTAAGGTACTAAATACTTTATCTTATTTCGTAGTTTCTAGTTAAGGAAGATTGAGAATAAGAGAAGTTGATAAAGAATTGAAAATTATAATGCTAGGGTAGCTAAGTACCTTTTACCTTTTAGGATAGCCAGATAGCCTTTCAAATAGGAAGGTATATATGTCAAATAGAAAGGTAAGTATCTATATTTGGTTCTCTAACATTGGATATAGCAAGAATAGCACCTAACATTTTGTGAACGTAATCTCAGTGCCAGGTACTGTGCTAATACTACATGAATTGTCTCATTTGCTCATTAGCACAATGTTAAGAGATAGGTACTATTGTCATCTCCATTTAAAGATAAACAGGTTCGTGGAAGTTAGCTTATTTGTTTAAGTCACATAGATGGTAGATGTGGGATTTGAACATCTGTTGATCTAATTATAAAGTCTGTGCCCTACCCCAGCCTGACATTTCTATTTATCAACAGACTCAGCAATGATTTCTGTAATAGTTTCTAAACTATGACCTAATTTTGTTTAACTTATAAGCTGTTTAACTGACATTTTTCATAATGACTTATTCTTGGTGGTAGAATTCAGTTACAGCCTTGTATTAATCTGATAGATCATAGAGTAGAATCTGGAATTCAGTAAAAATTATACTTCATTCAAAGTATGCTCTGCTTCCCTGTATATATTGTGCAGTTATATACATTTTATATGGCATCCTTGGTTTATGTGTTTTATTTTTAAGAAATAAGCAGAATAGTATTAAAATAATTCAAAGAGAAAACCTGAATTGAGTATTTGTCTAATTATTAAGCAAGGAAGTTTACATAATTATTACTGTCTATTGTTAAGGTAGTCCTAACTGGAGATTAATTCCTTTTGTATTAAAATGTATTTCAGAATTGTTTCTTGTGGATTTTTGTTTTATATTATATTATTATCATTACACTCTGGTTCAGTATACTTGAGTCACTTGGGTTATTTCATGTATGGTTGCAGAACATGCATTGTTGTAGAAGATTTTAATAAAGTGAACTTAGTTATTTCTATAATTTTTCATCTTTTTACAGGAAATGCTGACACTCTTAAACATGAGCCAAAAAAGAATGATATTGATACACATGCTAGACTGAGAGAATTCTGGATGCGTTATTACTCTGCTCATTACATGACCTTAGTGGTTCAATCCAAAGGTAACATTATTTATTATGACTCTTAGAGTTACTCCGAAGTAGTGCTTTCTTAGAATTGTTTGCCTGGGTCAGTGTTGCAACACACTTTAACTAATTTAGTGCTTAACCCTAATGCAAGGTAAAGAAAAATCAGAATTTGGAGATGTTGCATAGCAGGTAGCAAAGGTCAGAGAAACACAAGATCTGATGCTTAGGCAAATATTTTTTCTCTTACTGAAATAGGTCTTATCTATAGGTATGAAAGACTGATGAATTCCTCTACTGTTTTCCTTCTTTTATCATTATCTTCAGTAACCATGTTACTTTTCTCATTAAATAAACTATGGGAAACTTTCTTAATGTTTTCCTTACATTTTCAACCTCCTTAGACTATTTTTCAATGCAAATAAATTGCTAAACTACTTTTAACAAACCCTATGGTTTGTACATTTCTTTTTGAAGGGCTAATCCTGTCACCCTAATGTGATTCTCCTTTTTTATAAAAATTTCCTCTTTGCATTGTCCACATTAAAATCAAACCTGACTTGGCATTTACATGTGAAACATTTTTGCATTTATGATAAAAATTAATTCACTAAAGTTGACTTGAAGATAAAGTTATATGACATGATAGATTCTTTTGTTAAAATTGTGTGCTTCTAGATTCATTTTATATTTGTTAAACCAGGCAATTCCATATTTGGTATATAAATTAATTTACCTTTTTTTTTGAGTCGGAGTCTCACTCTGTCGTCCAGGCTGAAGTACAGTGGCACTCATGGCTACTGCCACCTCAACCTGCTAGGCTCAGGCGATCCTTCCACCTCAGCCTTCCAAGTAGCTGGACCTACTGGCGCGTGTCACCATGCCTGTCTAATTTTTTGATGTATTGTGGAAACAAGGTTTTGCCAAGTTGCCTAGGCTCATCTTGAACCCTTGGCCTCCCAAAGTGCTGGGATTACAGGTGTGAGCCACAGAGCCTGGCCAATTTACCATTTTTAATTAATATGTTTGTAAATTATTTCATGTAATTTTTCTTCAACTTAGTATTCTGGGTGTTCTTTCATTCTCTTCCTCTATGATAACAAATATAAGAGCTTATTAATGCTTATTGCAAATTTAAAAATAAGCTCTAGGGTTTTTTTTGCACATATGTGTAGTTTTTGTTGTTGTTGTTTTTTTTTTTAGAGATAGAATTTCACTCTGTCATCCAGGGTGGAATGCAGTGCCACAATCATAGCTCACTGCAATCTCCAGCTACTGGGCTCCAGCAATCCTTAGACTCCTGATAGCTGGGATTATAGGTATAAGCCATAGTGTCCAGCCTAGTTTTGATTAAAACCATGTAAAATCTGAATTTCATAGATTTTGGAGCTTTAGCATTTATTATACCATTTAAGAATGAAACATCTGTATAAATAGTATAGAATAAATTCAAAGTTTGACTAGTCTAATTTACTTCTTGTGTTTTACATAGTGGGGTATCTCTATTGTGAATTAGTGAAATTCATGTGCGTGGTGGAACTCATAGATACTCTCTAGTAGTGGTCACTGGGATAAAACTAAAGGGTTTCCTTTTTCATTTAGATCTTGTGTTTTACTAGAAATTTCAAAAGAAGTTCTTATGAAACATAAGAAATTAATCAAAAGAAGATACAAATCTTATATATATGAAGCCTAAGAGGAAGACTTATGAGTTAAAACCCCAGCAAATGTAAATTAATGTAAAACAAGTAGAATATGAAAGTACTCATGAGATGCCAAAAAGAAGAGAAGTTAATATAGTGTGGGTTAGAAACCTTCCTAGAGGGTGTAAATTTTGGAATTGGTGTTAGGAAGATGGTTGGCATATTCTTACTATCTCTTGGCCCTTCATGCTAGTCTAATGATAAACAAATACTTTCTCTTCCTCCTCCTCCTCCTCGTCTCCCCCCACTTCTTCTTCTTTTCTATTTCTTCTTTTCTTACTTTACCAGGGAGAAATAAAGGCATCTATTAATTGTGTCTTAAGATTTTCTTATCTACTGTTATTTTTTCTGTTACTCCTTACTGGTTAAGGAGGGGGAAGTAATGGCCAAATTAAAATATCCCTTTGTTTTAAAACTAAAGATATGTGAGAAATCTAATTGCATTTCTACCTTGAATAATGACATTGCATGTCTCTATCTCTTCCCTACCTTCCCTTTTCAAGAAACACTGGATACTTTGGAAAAGTGGGTGACTGAAATATTCTCTCAGATACCAAACAAGTAAGATATTTATTTTCATAAGTCATACATCTTTAAAGAGACTGTATCTTGTATGAGCCCCAAAGAATTTTACACAGGTGATAAAGTTAAAACCTAAACAGGCTGTTAAGTTTGTCAGAATTTCATAGTTTTTGAGTGGGAAATCAAAGATGAGAACTCAACTTTCCATAGTTTCTGCAATTCAAAATTTACAGACTTGTAAACTAATAGTAAGCAATAATTCTGAAGAATCATGTCTCCTATTACATCCTATTACATTTATTTAGAGCTTTCTGTAATGTCAAAGAAACTTCTGTATTAAGAGACAGAATATGTATACTTATGTTCCCAGTCTTGTAACAATGTCTTTTTTTTAAGTCAGTTTTTCAGATCTTAGACTCCTTTTTCTCGTAAAAGAAATGACCTTTTAGATGATGCCTGACTTTCTATACGGCCTGAAAAACCTATTTCATATAGTTAAACCAAGTGATTTTTTTTCTATAACAAATTGTATATAGAATTCCAATTCAGGATGCCATAAGACTATTTTTGTCTACCTCAAATTCATCAAAATAACACAAATGTTTAAAAGATACTTTACTGTTAAATGTTTGTCATAATGCAAAAAATGTAATCTGAAACACCTACGTCTTCTCACACCTAGCAGTTTCGTTTTAACAAAATAAATGAAATCAGATTTTTTTTTCTTGCATCTAGTAAGTTATTGACTTTTTCCAGTTCTTCCAAAAATTGTTTTAAATTTATGGGAGATATTAGCTTAAAATGTCAGAACAATTTGTAATAACAACTGATTGGTTATTATTGTCTTGGCTTTATGTAAATTCCCATTGATATTTGGCAGTGCTTTTTATGTATAGGAACGTAATGGAAGCCATGCCAAATTTGTGGGATTTTTTATTATTTAATTTTTTAAATAAGAAGTGGCAGATAGTAACGTCTTTCTCTGTAAAACTTTACCAATAAAACCAGAGATGTATTTAATAGAGTAAGTCATTAGATTCTGTCAATCCTTGATGAACATTTAAAACATTCTCTTATATACTATTCACTAATAACTTTACTTCCTTAATTAAACAGTTTAAAAAGTCTTTGAGGAGTTAAATACTAATCTACATTGACTGTGTTTTGGAAGAAATATTAAAGGTGTGATATCTACAACTAGATTGGAAAGCCCCTAGAAGGAGGGACCAATTCCACAACGCCTAATACAGTGCTTTATACCTAATAGTCACTTTACGTATATTTGTTAAATTAAAAAAAGTATTATCTTTAGCTTAGCTTCTTTGTGAAATGACTTTGTATAGGAGGAGAACTGAAATTGATTGGGGCTGATAGAGACAATAAATATTGGGGAGAGCAGGCCCCTTCAACTCATTATTTCCTATCTCTTGAGTTGTAAAGGCCTTTGAGTTTTGGGGACTGAGATTAAGAACGGATTGTGTTTCAGGATTTTGTGGCTTTGTTGCTATCTATTTGTTCATGCCTAGAATGCTTTTCAGCTAGTAGTATGTTGACTAGATTAAAAATGTCTTCCAGTTAAACATCTTTAAAGATACTGCTTATAAAGTCTTGTGCCAATTGAATTTTAGTATATTTGTTTTATTTTCAGTGGGTTACCCAAACCAACATTTGGCCATTTAACGGATCCATTTGACACACCAGCATTTAACAAACTTTATAGAGGTTAGTGAACCAAAGGTTTAAAACTGTTTGAAATAACTTAACACATTCTCCAAAACCTAACTGAGGCTGCCAATTTTCTTTGAAAATGAGAACACAACAGAAAGTATAGCTGGGTTGGAAAGGGAATAGACAGGCAGAGGAGATCCAATTAGTGACAGACAGCAGGCCACTGACTAGCTGCAGGCCACTGACTAGCTGCAGGCTGGCTGGTTCTGGTACCCTGCTGCTACTTGAATCTATTTCATGCCCTCTCCCTGTCTTATCTTTATTCCCTTTTATTTTGTTCTTTGGTTTCTTTCTTTCTTACTTTTTTTTTTTTTTTTGGTTGTTTCTTTTCATTTTATTTATATTCTGCTCTTTTTTTTGCTTTTAAAGAGAGAAAAATTGAGAGGGAAAACACTTGGAAATCATTTCCTTCTACATTTGTTATAAAAACAATATTTGTTAAATAAAGAAAAGTTTAAAGTAATGTATCCAGAAATGGGGGAAAAACCTTCTTACATCTTACCATCATAGTTGAGACTATAAAGTATATACATTTCTGTCTCCTGCTTTTTTCACTCGTATTTCACCTGTATTTGTATTTCATTTGTATTTGTATTTCACCTGTAATAACTGCATAATGAGTTCTCATGTGATTACACTATAATTTACTTAGCTGTTTGTCCACAGTGAATATTGCAGAAACATTCCTAATTCACCATTTCTCTCTCTCCCTCTCTCTCTCTGTTTTTCTGTCTTTATTATGGCAGAGTTTTTCCTCTTTTATCCTAATTGCCTTAGGTATTCCCTTCTTCTCCTCCCTCCATTGCCAGTCTTTTCCTCTTCCCCTCCTCTAATCAGTGACTGTTCTTCCACATTATTTTCACTGCTGGCTCCATTCTATTAAGCTGACTCTTCCCAGAGACAACTTACTTTTTATTGTATTATTTCTGGCTTTGGATTTCTTATAGAATTATAGAATAATAACACTGGGAAGAATCTTAGAGATGTACTAGGCCAAGTCACTCATTTTACTATGAGAAAAAATTTAGAAAGATTTAAATCCAAATTATTTTTTTCTCTTTTTTTTTGAGTCAGAAGTCTTACTTTCACCTGGGCTAGAATGCAGTGACATGCTTACAGCCACCACAGCCTTGACCTGCTGGGCTGAGGCTAGTCTTCCAACCTCAGCCTTCCAAGTACCTGGAACTACAAGCAAGCGCCACCACATTTGACTGATTTTTTAATTTATTGTAGAGACGAGGTTTTGCCAAGTTGCCCAGGCTGGTCTTGAACCCCTAGGCTCAGGCAATCCTCTCACTTCTGCCTCCCAAAGGGCTGGGATTACAGGCATGAGCTGCTGCGCACAGCACAAGTGATTTTTTTCAAAGTCATATAAGCACATACAGCAAGTTATAGTAAGTACATACAGCAGTGGTAGTACTGGATTTCAACCCTGGGTCTCCTGATTCCTAGTTCTGCATTCTTTCTTGCAAGAAGGGATCCATCCTTAGCAATATTTCATACCTTGTAGTCCTTGTATCCCTGGTTTCTCTAACAGTGAAACCAAATTAAAAAGAAATTTACAAAAAACTGCATTGTTGGAAAATTGACGGCTTGAAATAATAATTGCATTGTACTTTGCCTTCCCCTGTTTTGGAAAATGAAATGTATTTAATTTAAAAGATTCTTGTAACATAGTAAAAGTTGAGGAGAAACACTTACAAAATATTTTTGTGTAGTTGTTCCAATCAGAAAAATTCATGCTCTGACCATCACATGGGCACTTCCTCCTCAGCAGCAACATTACAGGTAAGAGTTCAAGGGAAAATTTACTTCATTAGATTCTGAGTAAAAGTCCTATTTTTAAAATATGCTAAATGGTATAAGTTTGGGGGTTCTAAATTTGTAAACACAGGCAATGTGGTAATCTGGGATTTGATTACTTCTAGATTTTTCAAACTTTGTCATATATTTTGCTGTCTTTTGGGGTATAAAAACTAGGGTTTTCTTATAACTAGTTGTCTTTTTTGAGTCTTTGAAATTAAGCATTTAGTGTGAATGTTAACTTTTTAAATTTATTTTTATTTTTGTCAAAAGAAAAGTTAAATAGTTTGGGCCTGAAATATGATTAGAGCACATAAATCTTGAGGATTTACCCTATGAGCTAGGGCAGATTTATACAAATTAGGAAAGCATTTCTACTTATCTAAGTAGTTTTATGAACAGTATAGCATGGGTTCTTTAAAGATAAGGATCAGTTAACGCCTATAAATGCTTTTCTAATTAGAAATAAATGCTAAGGAACTGATAAAATTTAACTTATTATTTAAAACCACTAACAACAAAACAGAAGTGTTTGTGCACATACATGCAAGTAGAAGGAAAGAAAGTAATATGTGTTGCTTGAGTGTAGTAGATAATGCTTTTTGCCACTTAACGTGACAATGATTCAAATGATCAAGTCCCATAAAGTTAACAAAAATAGTATGCTTCCAGTGAGACAGAGAGAAAATGTGTGTTTTCAGCTTTTTTTTTTTTTTTTTGAGTCACCTGGGCTAGAGTGCAGTGGCGTGCTCATGGCCATTGCAGCCTTGACCTGCTGGGCTCAGTCTTCTAATTAGCTGGAACTACAGGCATGTGCCACCATGCCCAGCTATTTTTTTTTTTTAATGTAGAGATGAGGTCTTGCCAGGTTGCCCATGCTGGTCTCGAACCCGTGGACTCAGGTAGTCCTCTCGCCTCTGCCTCTCAATGTACTGGGATTACAGGTATGAACCCTGGCTCCCGGCTTATTGTCACCTTTTTTTTGGTGCAAGGATAATATAGGATAAAATATAGGATACATTGATTGTGTAGTTATAAGTGTCTCAAGAAACATTAAAATTATTATATATAAAAGTTTATTCTGGCCAGGTGTGGTGGCTCAGCCTGTAATCCCAGCACTTTGGGAAGCCGAGGCAAGAGGATTGCCTGAGCCTGGGGGTTTGGGACCAGCATGGGCAATTTGGTGAGACCTTGTCTCTACAATAAGTCACAAAAAAATTAGCTGGGCATGGTGGCATGTGTGTGTAGTTCTAACTACTTGGAAGGCTGAGGTGCAAGGATCGCCTAAGCCCAACAGGTCGAACCTGTGGTGGCTGTGAGCATGCCACAGTACTCAGCCTAGGTGACAGAGTGAGACTCCAACTAAAAAAAAAAGTGTTTTCTATTTGTTTAAAACTTTTACTATAAAAATAATACTTGCTTATAAAATTCTAATAGGAAGGCACTAAGTAAAAAGTAAAGGTCTGCTTCTCCCTTCTTTGTTCCTGTTCTCAAAAATATGTCTAACACTTTTTCGTATATATTCTTCAGGCATTAAAACATTGACTAAAAAGCACTTTTTAAAAAATGGAAATAGAATTATATGATATACTATTAACAAAGTCTTGTTTATCCTGTGATTGTTTACTAAAGTAATTCATTGTGGAAGTTTTGAAAACTACTGAAAAGTAGGAAAACTATTCATGATTCTCTTTTCCAAAGACTGTTAACATTTCTGTATGTTTCTGTTCAGTTTTTTTTTTTTTTTGGACTGTTTGTTTTAATATGACATTGATCATCAGTCATTTTGAATCCCCAAGTATGAACTAAAGTATTTATCCCTCCAGAATTACCAAACATACTATAGTTAACTTTGTTCAGATGCAAATATGTCATCAACTGGGTTTATTTATTACTTGATTTACTCCTCTACACTGGCCTTAGTACGTATATATGTAATTCCATTCATATTTTAAACAGTGTTGCATGACTTTGAGGATAGCTTAACATAGTCAAAATAATATCTTGGCCTTCAAGAGTTTGATTGTGAATTTAATTGTGTACCCTAATTAGATTTCTTCATATATATGAGAATACATAGAAAACTCGATTTTTGCACATATCTTTGTTTTGGTAGGAATACTTTTCCAAAATTATTGTAGAAGCCAGTAGAAAAAGTCAATTTGAATAGCATACATACAAGTACTCAGACTTGTATTATTAGTGTATAATAAAATATTTTTTACACGTGTTATTGCATTTTCATGAAAACTATGAGTAAATAGGCAAGTGAAAAGAAAAAGAAAAATATAGTTAAGTATCTTGCTCAAGGTCATGATTTATTTAAAGAAAAAACTAAAATTAGAAGCTAGGTTTTTTGACCTTCAGAGCAACACATTTCACTGTACTGCAAAGCCTGTTGCAGTACTGAAAGCTTTTACAGGCAAAGAGTGATTCATATCTTAGGTTCTAAAATGATAAAGAATCCAAATTCCATTTTGGTTGAACCACAAAGATTTATCATGAAAGGAGGTAAGTTTGGTGTCTAAGAGAAAAAGTAGTAGCCTTGACTTTTGGGACAGTTGTGTTTATTCAGTTATTTCAGATGAAGTTTAATTTTACTATTTTTCTTTTTTTTAATCTGGAAGCTATTAAATTAATTACAATTTCATGTTTAGTGAATTTATGTGAGAGAATAAGCTCATAATTCTCAAATATTGTAGTCTTAGAGGGAAGATTTTCTGGTGTATTTGTACCTTAAATTTTAAACAATTTCTGACCATAACATTTTATTTACAGGGTAAAGCCACTTCATTATATTTCCTGGCTAGTTGGACATGAAGGCAAAGGCAGCATTCTTTCTTACCTTAGAAAAAAGCAAGTATTCAATTAATAAGTATTTTCAGTGTAGTAATCTCTGAAAAATAATAGACAATAAGTACTATAATAATGCATTCTCTTGCGTTAGCTGCCAGGATCCTAGATCAGATTGAATGCTCATCTTAATAATTTAGATTATTTTAACGGCCATATTGTATTTGTATATTTCCTTGGATGCTATCTTTTAGCTCAGTGTTGGACATGATTGTACACAAAATTCTAAATATCATAAATGAAACTAATAGATTCCAGAATTACATAAAAGGATTAGCCCTAATCAAGAATTTCTATTTGACTGATACAGAAGTCAGTTATTGACATGCTGTGAATCTCCAGACTTTTCCAACCCAAAAGGTAGACTTGATGAAAACTTCAATGGGCCTATAAATCATAATAAATATGTAAGACTGTGAATCGTATGCAGCCATGTTAATAGAATGTATCCTAATGCATTTAATTACCTGTTTAAGTCATCTGTAGCCAAATAATAGAAATGCAACTTTAGAATCAGGACCAGTATTTTAAAGTAAGTCCTTGTTTGGTTTTCCTATACACTAATTTGTTTGAGAATGGAAAGATAGATGATAAATTTAAATAAGTATTTTAGACATTGGTATGTTCTATAACACTTGAAGAATGCTGAGAGGGCAGAATTATTATAAAAGAAAAAAACTAATGATATGGGGTATCATATATACCTTTTACAAAATATGTAATATGCTTTGAGGTGTGCTCAGCCTTTCTATCTTACTGAAGTTTATTTGCATTTCATACTTTTTATTATGGTGTCCTCCTCCCTTAATTTTGGTTTTCAGGGTTATTCTAGTCAGGAAAATATATAGTTTCATTAGCTTTTTTCTTTTTTCTTTTTTTTTTTTTGAGTTGGAGTCTCACTCTGTCGCCCATACTGGAATGCAGTGGCCGCTCCCGGCTACTGCACGCTCGCCTGCTGGGCTCCGGCGATCCTTCCACCCCAGCCTTCCAATAGCCGAATTACAGGCATGTGCTACCAAGCCCGGCTGATTTTTTTATTTATTGTGGAAATGAGGTCTCGCTGCCCAGGCAGGTCTCGAACCCACGGGCTCAGGCAATCCACTCACCTCAGCCTCCCAGCACGGGATTATAGGCTTAGCCACCGAGCCCGGCTCATAACTTTTTTCTTAAACAGCCTGTGTAGGTTAGCAGATAGTGTCAGAGCTCACTTGCATTCATGTAGGGATGTACCTAGGGTATAAGGCTTTTCCTAGGAGGCAGACTCAAAACTAGTAGGTGAAATGCCTCCTAGCAACCACAATTTTAATATTTTGTCCTGTTCTCTTTAACAAGAATTGCTTTGGCTTCATAAAATTTAAATGTTTCAGTCTGTTGCAATATCTATTAGTTTTTGTAATAAACAAGTAACGATTGCTATCTCTTTCTGGTGATTCCTAAATATACTACAATTCCTTGGGAGGCCTTGTGCTTTTAAAATTTGCACTTTTAAACTTACTGTTGGAAAGTCTGTGTTTATCTCAAATGCTGAGGTTTCCACATTTCATATAGAATGTCAACCTATGTTGAAGTGTTTGTAGACTGTCAATCCATAGACATTGATTGAGTTAATTTTTCCCCAACTGTAGGTGCTGGGCTCTTGCGTTGTTTGGTGGAAATGGTGAGACAGGATTTGAGCAAAATTCTACTTATTCAGTGTTCAGCATTTCTATTACATTGACTAATGAGGGTTATGAACATTTTTATGAGGTAAATAATTAAATGGAGTCATTTTTCTTGTATGTAATTATCTCTTTATGCAAAAGACTAATCAAATGTTTTGTTTTCAGGTTGCTTACACTGTCTTCCAGTATTTAAAAATGCTGCAGAAGCTAGGCCCAGATAAAAGGTAATAAATATTTCTTAGAATGAGGCCAGGAGTCAATCCTAGTACCACAGAAGGCTACCAAAAGACATGCTTTAGTCCTGCCTTGATGGTTTTTTAGGCATTTCATACTCTATTTCCTTTACTGGCTCCTTAATCTTATCTCTCTACATGTGAGTGTACACTAAGGTGTTACATTTATGTGGCCAGTCCCTTTGTTTTTTGCTTCTCTTTTATTGTTGTTGATTCTAGTGAGAAATTTTAATGTATCTTCTGATTATAGTTTTCTCATTCACAGAATTTTTGAAGAGATTCGAAAAATTGAAGATAATGAATTTCATTACCAAGAACAGGTACTGGAAATAAAATTCTTTTTGAATGTTACCTGGTGACCAAGTTGAAACTGGTGTGGGATATGGTTCCTCCTTTTAAAGGTGTCACTAGAATTTTTATTCTGCTACTCTCTATCATATGAGTCTCAAAATGACCTTGAAGCTATCGGAAAATTAACTACTGTGTGTTTTAATATTTATATTGAGTAACAGTGAGAAAATGAGGCAGATAATATAGATCATATTGTGTGATAATTTATCTATATAATCATCCATCTGTCCATCCCTTCTGTAAACATTTATAGACTTATATGGTATTTGACATTCAAATATTGGAGAAGACATTTTATGAGCAATTTATAGTAATTACCTTGTATAATGTTAGAAACCTTGTGCTTTGTAATTCAGGGCAAGGAAAGCATTTTCCTTATTGAAACAGTATTGACTGGGCGTGGTGGCTCTGGCTGGGTCTGGGAGCTTATACCTGTCTTCCTAGCACACTGGGAGGCTGAGGTAAGAGGATTGCTTGAACCCAGAAGTTAGAGACAAGCCTGGGCAATATAGCAAGACCTCTTCTCTACAAAACCAAAAAATTAGCTGGGTGTGGTGGTGCACTCCTGTAGTTCCAGCTACTTGGGAGGCTGAAGCAGAAGGATTACCTGATTACGGGAAGTTGAGGCCATGGTGAGCCACTGTACTCCAGCCTGGATATCAGAGTGGGACTCCAACTGAAGGGGAAAAAAAAAAAAAAAAAAAAAAAACAGGATCAGGGAAAACTTTGTGGATGTGATAAATTTGAATTGAGTTTAGCATCAAAAAATGAGGTTTGCATAAAGTTTGTTTACATTCTAGGCAATGGGAGGCACATGAATAAGGAATTCTGGAATATTATGGAAAATGAATGATCCTATGTTTCTGTTACATAAGGGTATATGAAAGGAAGGGATTGTATAATGCTTTATGTAAACAGAGTTGTGTGTGTTCTGTTTTAAATTCCTACTGCACCTTGGATCCCTTTGAAAGTCTTTTGAATCCTGTGGACTCCTCCTCAGAATAATACTTCATCCTCTTAAACTTTCAGGAAGTAGTACAATAATCACTGATATATCCCTTACACAGATTCAGTCATTGTTCATATTTTGTTATACTTTTTTTCCTCTCTTTCCCTATACTTAGTATGTGTGTATGTGTAATTTCCCCCCAACATTTGAAAATTAATTGCAGATATTATACTTCACTCTAAATATTTTTTTTGTCATGTATCTACTACTAGTACAAAGGCTTTCTCTTGCATAACCTACACACACTTGTCACAGTTGGGAAGTTTGACGTTGAAACAGTACTGCTAATGCCCAGTTCATAGGATAGTGTTTTTAAATGCATAAAATTAATTATGTAGTTTACAAAGGAATTCTGAAATAAAGTATTCAAAATAGTAAAAAATAGTAATATGTATCTTTTGATTAATATAGTAAATAATAAGTCTACTGGTAGGTATAATAATTATCACAGTTTTTAAGTAACAATGAGTGTAAATGATGTTTTGAGATATCAACAACAACTAAATTGTGATTTCTATTGGTGACAGTCATAGATATTGCTAATAATACTGTGGTTTGTTGTCTGTATTCATAATTGAAAAAAGAAGCTAAATTAGAGATTAGTGAAAATAAATATGTAATTTCATTCTAACCAAAATCATTCACTTGTCCACTGCTAGCTTGTCAGGGATGTCTGTGGACCTTAGATTTAAGATCCCCTGATTTACAACCAGTTGATGGAACACCTTGAAAACTGTGGCTTTTTGGATCATCACCAGAGACTATTCCCTGAAGACTTAAGTACATGAGAGCAAGCTCACAAAAAGTATAAGTTTCTAATTGCTGTTGACTCTTATATAATCTGTTCTGTACTCTTGAAAAGAAGACATTTGAAATCGAAATCTTACTCTATAAAAGTAGAAAGGCAACTGTGACTCCTGTTGGACATTAGAGGATCCTGTAGACACTCTTCTCTGTAAATAGATGTGCATAGAACCAAGTTCTGTCATCCTCCTTACCAGGAGTGGTTTTGTTCAATCTCCTCAGCTGTGGTGGCTCCATGTGGGCCAGAACTGTGGCAGGGAAAGAGTAGAGGTGAGAATTGTGGACTACAACTGTAGGTGATACCCAGATTCCTTTTTCTGGGATCAGCCTTTTAGCATTGGTTGTGTAAGTGACATTTTCACTCTGCCCCTCCAGATCCTTCTTAACAAGACATTTATTGTAAGATATCTTTTTATTGCCATTTAACCTTTTTTTTTAAATTTGGGCTCTCCCTCTGTCGCCCAGAGTAGAGGGCAGTGGCATGGTCATGGCTCACTGTAGCCTCAACCTTCTGGACTCAGGTGATCATTCTGCCTGAGCTTTCCAAGTAACTGGGACTAGAGGTACACACCACTACGTCCAGCTAATATTTTGATTTTTGTAGAGATGAGATCTTGCTATGTTGTCTAGGGTGGTCTTGAACTCCTGGGCTCAATAAATTCTCTCACCTTGGCCTCCTAAAGTGCTGGGATGAGGTGAGCGCCACTGTACCCGGCCAATTTCCCCATTTTGTAGTCCCCCCTTTTTCATCTTTGGCAATATGTATAAATACTTGTCTTGATTTTAAAACATGAGCCCAAAATGTCTTAGATTAGAACCTATCCAATGCAAAATCAGAACAAAATAGAAAATCTGTTTCTCTGCATGAACTGCTAAACAAACTCAAGTAGGTCAGCTTATTTCTGTTTTTAGGCTTATACATATCTGTTTTTAAAAAATTTGTGATGTCTTCTTTTCAGACTTCTTTCTAGCCTTCATCAGTAAAGGCATATCAGAGTGTCCTTTTCAAACTGTTCAAACTATTTTATTTTTAATTAGGAAATTTAAAAATATTTAAAATCCATATAGGAATGTGGACTCAGTATGTTTTCAACTATTTGAACCAGGGTATGATGAGAAAAGCTATTTTGTTTAAGTACTTTCCTATGGGCAGAAAAGTAGAACCAATAATGTAACAATTAATAGTGGAAGGCAGTGAGAGTTTGTAGTAGACAAAAAAAAAAAAGAAAGAAAAAAACAAGTGTTAGAGTGTTAACAAGTGTTAGAGAGGATGTGGAAAAATTGGAACCCTCGTACATTGCTAGTGGGAATGGAAAATGGTACAGCTGCTTTGAAAAACAGCTTGACAGTTCCTTGAAAAGCTGAACACAGGATTGTCATATGACTCAGCAATTCAGTGCATACCTAAGAGAATTGAAACATATGTCCACACAACTTGTACACAAATATTCATAACAGCATTACTCATTATAGCTACAACGTAGAAACAACCCAAATGTCCATAAACTGATGGAAGTAAATAAAGTATAGACTATGCATATTATAGAATATTATTCAGGTTGGACGCTGTGGCTCACACCTGTAGTTCCAGGACTTTGGAGGGCCAAGGTAAGGGTATTGCTTGAGCCTAGGATTTTCAGACCAGTCTGGGCAACATTGCAAAACTTGTCTCTACTAAAAATAAAAAAATTAGCCAGGTGTGGTGACACATGCCTGTAGTCCCAGATACTCGGGATTCTGAGGTGAAAGAATTGGCTAAGCCCAGGAGATCAAGGCTGCCATGAGTTGTAATCATCATGATCATGCCACTGCACTCCAACCTGGGCAACAGAGTAAGACCTTGAGTCAAAAAAAAAAAAAAATTATGCAGCCAGAAAGAGGAATGACATAGGTGTACTTTGAAAACATTGTGCTAAATGAAGGAATCCAAGCAGAAAAGATCATATATTGTTTGAATTCTGTTTATATGAAATACCTAGAACATATCTGACAGAACTGATGGCTGTCAGGGCCTGGGGGAGTGAGTGATGGGGAGTGACTGCCCAAAGGGTGTGAGGTTTCCTTTTAAGGTAATGAAAGTGTTCTGGAACCAGATAGTGATGATGGTTGCACAACTTTGTGAATATATTAAAAACCATTGAATTGTACACTTTAAAAGGGTGAATTTTATAATGTGTGAGTTATATCTTAAAAAAAATTAAAAGGTAACATTTAAATGTTTTTCTCCAATACCTTCCCTATTGCCTTGGTATCAAAGATCTGCTTTTAGTCAAGGTCCTTAGTCTTTTGTCATGGGAATACTTACTAATTACTTAATTTTGTACTATACTGGTTAAAGCAGTTAACTTGTAAGTAAGTAGCTGGTGAAATTAACTGGATAAAAAAAATTAGAACAGGGTGGAAGGAATCATTTTATTTTATTTACTTTTATTTATTTGTTTGTTTGTTGTTAGTTTGAGTCAGAGTCTTGCTCTGTCGCCCAGGTTGGAGTGCAGTGGCATGCCTATGGCCACTGCAGCTTCAACTAACTGGGCTCAGGTGATCCATCCACTTCAGCCTTCCAAGTAGTTGGAACCACAGGCACACGCCACCATGCCTGGCTAATTTTTTGATTTATTGTAGAGAAGAGGTCTTACTGAGTTGCCCAGGCCGATCTCGAACTCTTGGGCTCAGTCAATCCTTTCACCTCTGCCTCCCAAAGAGCTGGAATTATGGGTGTGAACCACCGTGCCTGGCAGGAATCATTTTAAACAATAAAAGCACTTTGTTGGCTAGTCCTCTCATGATTTAGTAATGGATCCTAAACAAGGGGATAAAAACTAAGAGTAGATCTTTTCTTTTTCTTTATTCTGTTTCTATGTGAAAACATAGTACATAATATATACCTGTGGTCTCTATTTTTTTTGTTGTTTGTTTGTTTTGAGTTGGAATCTTACTCTGTCATCTGGGCGGGAGTGCAGTGGCACTGCTCATGGCCACCACAGCCTCTACCTGCTGGACTCAGGTGATCCTTCCGCCTCAGCCTTCCAAGTAGCTGGAACTATAGGCATGTGCCACCACACTCAGTAAATTTTTCTTGGTTTGTTGTAGAGATGAGGTCTTGCCAAGTTGCCCAGGCTGGCCTTGAACCCCTGGGCTCAGGCAACAGGCATGAGCCACTGCACCCGGCCTGGTCTTTAGTTTGATGTATGCTTGTCTTATTGCCCTCTACGCATGCAGTAACTTTCACTTTTATTCTGACTTCCATTAGATGAGAAATAACCTGTGCTGTCTAGTGAAGGACTGGGTAGTGTGTTGTCTTGGGAAGAATATGTGGATATGTTAGGACTGTAGCATTCTAGTGTTTGCTGTACCTGCCACTTACTCATTATGATCTGGAGCATGGCATCTAATCAATCAGTATATTTCCTCATTGTAAAACATGGGAATGAAACCTGGTAATGAAAACCATGGTAATGAAAGACCTGTCAGTTTTAACCTTCTGTGTATCTGGGTGTTCAGTAAGTACTTGATTGATTTCCTTTGGGAAAGTATTTCCACTTCATAGTTCATAGAATTTGTGTTCTTTCTTTCAGTTTCAAACTGATTAATATAACTTATCTCAAGACTTTTATCTAACAACACACACATTGTGATTTCTACAATGATTTGATTCATGCTTACAGAGTTCTTAGGTGATAGTTCTGTAGTGATGGGTCGCCTGTCTATTGACTTCACAGCCACGTGGAGCACTTGACAGGTAAACAAAAATTACAGTTCAGTATAGTAGTTGCTCTTATGAAGAGGCTGTAACATGACTAGAACCTAGTGGATTGTAGGACTCAGGCATAGGGGCTTGAGAGGGGTATGAATTTAAGATCCTTAAGATCATAGCTCCCGCTGTATTTTTTGGAATTCTGAACATCATTCTCTTAAGCTGCAGTTAATATCTGGTTATATCTGTTCAGAAGCTTTTGGTTTCATTGTTAAAAAAAGAAAGTATTTGGACAACCCCTTCGGGTCCCCTCCCACTGTGGGAGCTTTTCTGTCCTCTTAATAAATCCTGCTTTCTCACTTTACAAAAAAAAAAAAAAAGTGCTTGTATGGTATGCCAAATCAAGGATAATAATGGAGAAGTTCTGGCATAAAATAATTTTACCTCTTTACAGACAGACCCAGTTGAGTATGTGGAGAACATGTGTGAGAACATGCAACTGTACCCACTGCAAGACATTCTCACTGGAGATCAGCTTCTTTTTGAATACAAGCCAGAAGTAAGGAGGTTTTCACTTCTAAAACTTACTTTTAAGGAAAGAGGAATGTGAGAAAGTTCAGAGATGTACTTAAGAACTATGGGAATGGAGGAAACTTGGAATGATTTTTGTTTGTTTAAATAGAATAAATGTTAATAGTTTATAGATAATTTCTCATGATTCTTTTACATGATTATGCTTTACTATAAGAGGAGAAAATCAAGTCTTCATGGGTACTGTGTTTTTCAAAGTATTGAAACATCGACTGAAATAGTTGAAGTGATTTCTAAGAATTATATGGCTTAGTTAAACATACTTAAAGAGTTGATGAGCTTATCTTTTAATTTAGTTGGAGAGTCAGGACAATTAAATTTTTAATCATTTCGAAAATATTTATGCCGGGTTTGGTGGCTCAGCCTGTAATCCCGCGCTTTGGGAGGCTGAGGTGAGTGCGTTGCCTGAGCCCGTGGGTTCGAGACCTGCCTGGGCAACTTAGCAAGACCTCATCTCTACTAAATCAAAAATTAGCTGGGCATGGTAGTGCACGCTTGTAGTTCCAGCTACTTGGAAAGCTGAGGTGGAAGGATCGCTGGAGCCCAGCAGGTTGAGGCTGCAGTGGCCGGGAGTGGCCACTGCACTCTAGTCTGGGTGACGGAGCAAGACTCCAACTCAAAAAAAAAAAAAGAAAAAGAAAAAGAAAATATTTATTTAAAAAAAGATATCCTGAATTAAAAACATGACCTACAGATAGTATTACATGCAAATAAATAGTTGGTCAAGATCTTTCCTCCAGTACTAGGAAGAAAGTCATTTGGCTTCATATAGGATAGCAGTTGTCAACCAGGGGCAGTTTCCCTCCCTCAGGGATATTTGTCAGTGTCTGGAGACATTTTGGTTGTCACAGTTCGGGTGTCAAGTATTCCTGGAATCTAGTGGGTAGAACCAGAGATGCTGCTAAATATTCTATAATGCAGAAGACAGCAATGATTATCTGGTCCAAGATACTAATAGTGCTGAGATTGAAAAATTTTAGCAAAGGGTATTCCAAAACTATTAATTTTTTAAAGGATAGGGAAAGGTAAAGGAGGAAGTAACAATCACATATTCTTGCCATGTCCCTAGACATTGGTTGTGCCCAGAGACTGGTAAGTTTTTTTCTGAACCACCGTTTGTTGTTTTTTTCTTGAAGAAATGGTGTTTAAATGGTAGTTAGGGTTTTAAACCAAGTCAAAAATTTCTGTGTTTAGTCCGTATCATAGCTGGAGGATTACTGAGGGAGGCTCTACAGTATTTTACTGATTCTAGAAGTGGTATAAAACATAGCTGCTAATAACAAAGTCGTTGAAGTCATGTACAAATTTGGTTAGGACTCCACTTTTTGCCATTTCTGGCTGTGTTGTTCTATACAAATTACTTAACCTTTAACCTCTGAAACTGAGTGTTATTTTCTGTCAATGGGTATTCCTGAGGATTGTTTTTGCGATTAAATGAAATAATGTATGTTAAATAGTGCCCGGCACTGGTTAATGGTAGCTATTTTTATTGCTATTGCCGTTAATATGTAAGATTTGAGATAAATATTCTTTAAAGCATTATCAAGAGTATATTTGATAATTGTCATTTATACATCAATAAAGTGGAAAAAAGTTTTTGAAACACTGATAAACTAATGAAACATTGTAAATTAGAGTGTTCATGGACTGTAAATACTTTTATTTTTCAGGATGCTAAGATCTTGAAGGCATCTTACAATGTGACTTTTGCCATTTTAACACAGATATATTAGGTTAAAATTGTTGTGTGTGTATATCTCTCTCCTTCCCGCCTCAACCTCTCCTTTATTAGGTCATTGCTGAAGCCCTTAATCAGTTAGTTCCTCAAAAAGCAAATCTTGTTCTACTATCTGGTGCTAACGAGGGAAAATGTGAACTCAAGGAGAAATGGTTTGGGACTCAGTATAGTATAGAAGGTAAAATATTTTAACAGTTGTTCTACATTTAGCTATACCTGACTTACCTAGAAATTTTTGTTCTATAATTTGTCTAATGGTTCTAGGGGGAGAAGTATCCTTTTTTTAAAAGTTCACTTTGAAATGAAAAATACTACTTTGTAGGAAGTTATTTTCTGCTATGTTTATTTTCTATTTATTAGCTAGTAAAAAAAATCCTGTTGTCTTGGTACTTTGGGGGCAGTTTTGACTTAATTTTAGAAAAGTGATTCTCAAACTTAAATGTGTATTTATCCCTGGAGATTTTATTAAAATACAGATTCTGGGGCAAGTCTGGGCAGGACCTGAGATTCTGCATTTCTGACAATCTCCCAGGTGATGCCAGTGCTGCTGGGACCACACTTTTGAGTAGCAAGATTCTAGAATGCCTGGCTATGTGTCAATCACGGTTTTCCTGAGAAAGGAGAATTGATTTGTGAAGGCTAGTTGATGACTGGTTTGTTGTTAAGATAATTCTGAACATTGCATTGTTTATTACATCAGTTTGTTTTTCCTCTTTATAGATATTGAAAACTCTTGGGCAAAGCAATGGAAGAGTAATTTTGAATTAAATCCAGATCTTCATCTTCCAGCTGAAAACAAGTACATAGGTTAGTAAAATAGCATTTGTTATATATAATCCATCCGTGTACTAATAAGGAAAACAAATAGCACCTGTATAGTACACCATGTTTACAAAGTGTCATATGAATTTATATTTGAGATTCTCAATAACATTCTAGGGTGGGTATTACTATTTTCTTGCTTTTCCAAATGAGAAAACTGAGGCTCAAAAAACCAAAGCAACTTGTGCAAGAATATTCAGTTGGTGAATGGAGGAACTAGGGCTTAACTACAGATCTTAGGACTTTGAAATTTATATATTTTTTATACAGCATAGTTGATCCTTTCACATCAGTCTCCTTAGGGATTGTCATTATCTTCTCAGGTTGTTCTATTACTTTTCAAACTGCATGTGGCAACCCATTAAAAGTTTGTAAAATCAGTGTAATGAGTTGGAGGTCAGTGTAATGAGCTGTGAAAGCATTAAAATAATCACTTGAAATAGAAAATAGCAAAACATTTCATTGCATATAGAGTGTTATTTCTAGAGCTTTTGTTCTAGATAGGCGTATATGTATGTACTTGCCTATCTACCAGCTTGCAGTGGAAAATATTTCTGTGAGTTGCAGTAAAAAAATGAAAGCCACTGATCCTAGGTCAAAGGTTTTAGAGTTGTTTGTAATTATAATTTACTCAAAACACCATATTTCCTAGCAATTCCACTAAATCTATACCCCCAAATAATTGAAAACAGGTACTCAAACAAATTCAAGGGGGACCAAAAAAAAAAAACTAGCATTATTTTTTTGGGGAGGGCAAGCTTCTTGTAGTACAGATTTCCCCCACTAGATAAGTGTTCTAGGAACCCATCAGCATCAGTGTACCAGCTAGTGTTGTTGAGAGGCTGCATTTATCTTCAGTGAATTTTTTTTGGAGATTCTTTCAGTTCATTTGCTCATTTCATGATGGGTGATTTATGAGCACACCTGCCCATATCACGCGTGTTCAGCAGTTTTTTTGTTTTTGTTTTTGTTTTTTTTTTGAGTTGGAGTCTCACTCTGTCGCCCAGACTGGAGTGCAGTGGCAGCTCCTGGCCACCGCAGCTTCCATCTGCTGGGCTCCGGCAATCCTTCCGCCTCAGCCTTCCAAGTAGCCGGAATTATAGGCATGCACTACCACGCTCGGCTGATTTTTTGATTTATTGTAGAGATGAGGTCTCGCTGCCCAGGCAGGTATCGAACCCGCAGGCTCAGGCAATCCACTCACCTCAGCCTCCCAAAGGTGCGGGATTACAGGCTGAGCCACCGAGCCCGGCGTTCAGCAGTTTTTGACCAAAAAATGGCATGACCGTCATGTCCCCGCTCCCTATTCAGTCTCAACCCGAGTGACTTTTTTTTGTTTTCCTGGATGAAAAAAGTCCTCAAAGGGAAACATTTTGCCGATGTGGAAGTGGTGAAACAAAAAACAGAAACACTAAAAGGCATCAAAATTGACGAGTTCAAAAACTATTTTGAGCAGCAGAAAAAGTGTCTCCATAGGTGTAGTGCGTCAAACAGAAAGTACTTTGAAGGTGACTGAAATTTAAATGTAAGAATAAATATACGGTTTTTATAAATCAATTCCGGTTTATTTTGGGTCCCCCTTTAAGTGTACATGTTGATACAGCACTACTCACAATACTGAAAGATAGAAACAGCCCATATGTTCGTCAGTGGATGACTTGGGTAAACAAATTGTGGTATATACATACTTTAGGATATGACTTAGTCATTAAAAAAATGAAATTTTGTTACTTACATACTGTAATGTGGATAAACCTTGCAAACATCATGCTAAGTGAAAGAAATGAGACGCAAAAGATCACATATTATCTAACTCCATTTATCTGAAATATGCAGAATAGGTAAACCCATACAGACATAACACAGATTGATGGTTGCTAGGGCTGAGTGGCCTGGGTAATGAGGAACAACTCCTTAATTAGTAGGAGGTTTCCTTGTGGGGTGATAAAGGTGATTTGAAACTAGATAGAAGTTGTGGTTGTGCAACAATCTGAGTGTACTATGCCCCTGAGTTGTTTACTTTAAAGGAGTTAATTTTATGTTATGAGACTCTCACCTCAAGAAAAAAAGACTTTTTAAATAAGTAGTAAATATTTTAGACAATTTAGTTCCATATCTTGAATTTAAGTAAAACAACCCAGTTTAAAAAATAAATACAGCAAGTACTTTTATTCTCATTTAAAAAATTAGCTCTCACCTATATGTTGATGCAACAATTGTTTCAGTTAACTGAAAGGACAAGTTTGGCTTTGTTTGAGCAGAACTATTTTGTAACCTTGCAAATGTCCATAAAGCATAAGGTTGGTGAAAAGCATTCTCATTCAAGAAATGGATTGACTTATAAACTGATTTATACAGCCACAGTTAAAATGTTATTTGAAAAGGGGAATGAAGCAGAATGTGTAGAAGTTAGAGTCAACTCTTGGGAAATTACAGATCCTCAGAGTTCATTTACTTTAAGGCCAAGATGGTTTTCCTTTCAGTATTGTTCTACTACTTTATTTTACTCTGGTATTTGAATTAAGCTTATCTTTTTCCACAAAGAAAAGTTATTAGACTTCTGAAGCCAGTGACAGATTACTGGGAATCCTGTTGAAAGAACTGAATGAATATATTGCTCTTTTCTTTTGTTAGCGACCGACTTTATGTTGAAAGCTTTTGATTGCCCTGAAACAGAATACCCTGTTAAGGTTGTGAATACTCCACAAGGCTGCCTGTGGTATAAGAAAGACAACAAATTCAAAATTCCCAAAGGTAAAATGTTGCCCTCCCTATTACTTCCCTGCTGAATTCCAGTGTTTCTACTTGCTGTTTTGTTCCTTCTTTGTGGAGGTGGCTAGTGCTGGATGCCTCTTAGTTAGCTATCTTGAATAAGACTCTAAAGTCCTTATCTGTAATGTTGTGACCCTAACTCTGTTGCTTTTTTATGTTCTGTTCTTGTGCGTGGCACGGGAACTTACTGAAGCAACTGGGAGTAATAGGCTGGGTGCTGTTGTATGCCATTTAACCTATATCCTCACTCAAATACAACTATACTATAGCTCTGTGGTATTCTTGAGTTTATTGGGAAAGTGTTTCCACAATTTTTTTTGAATGGCTTAAAAGAGTTTCTAAAAATATTCTTATTCAGCTTCTTATTCATCTTCCTTGGAAAGCCTATTCTGTACTTTTTGTGAACATTGGGGTTATTCTCTTGATGTTCTTAACATGTATACCTCTAAACGTTTTCCTGAACTGAAGTTACTAATAAACATGAGTATTCATAGGTCACTCTGTATCTGTCTATGTATCTGGTCTCCCCATAGATTAAAGTGTGCCTTCTGGGACACACTATTTGGAATGGTAAATGTTACTTTTTAAAGACTCTTAAGAATAATGTGGACTGGGCTTGGTGGCTCAGCCTGTAATCCTAGCACTTTGGGAGGCCAAAGCGAGTGGATTGCCTGAGCCCATTGGTTCGAGACCCACCCAGGCAACTGGGCGAGACCTTGTCTCTACAATAAGTCAAAAATAAGCTGGGCGTGGTAGCACACACCTGTAGTTCCGGCTACTTGGAAGGCCGAGGTGGAAGGATCGCCAGAGTCCATCAGGTCGAGGCTGCTGTGGCCGAGAGCATGCCACTGCACTCCAGTCTGGGCGACAGAGTGAGACTCCAACTCAAAAAAAAAGAATAATGTGGCAGGTGCACTGGCTCACACCTATAATCCCAGCACTGTGGGAGGTGGAAGTGAGAGGATTACCTGAACTCAGGGGCTCAAGATCAGCCTGAGCAACATGGCGAGACCTCATCTCTACAATAAATTTAAAAAAAATTCAACTGGGCATAATGGCACATTCCTGTGGTTTCATCTACTTGGAAGACTGAGGCAGAAGGATCACCTGAGCTCAGCAGGTCGAGGCTGTGGTGGCTGTGAGCATGCCACTGTACTCCAGCCTAGGCAACAGAGATTCTGGCTCAAAAAAAAAAAAAGATGTAATAGGGGTTTAAGGATTTGTAGTTTCAGAATTTAAAAAAATTATGGGAAAATGTCAGATGTATATTTTATCTATGATCTTTTTTCTTTTAGCATATATACGTTTCCATCTGATCTCACCTTTGATACAGAAGTCTGCAGCAAAGTAAGTATTTGTCCTCTTTTCTGGAAAATTTTTTTATTTGAAAAATTTTATTTGTTTCATTCTGAATCATGGTATCATTTTCCCTACCAGCACAGCAACTATGTTGCTGATTTGTGTATTCTTTCTGTGCTCCAAGTTGTTTGTATTGACACTAAATGTTCAAGTGAAGCTGTGGCTGCTCCATTACCAGCACCCATATGTAAAGTATGCTGATAGTGTAGACTAGCCATAGAGCTACTGGATTGGGAACATTCCTTAAAGATCAGTTTGTGTTAGTGCCCAGTCTATAATGATACTGGCGGATCTGTTGATCCTGTATTTTTAAGAGGCAGAATTTATTGAGAGGACAGAAAAACTTCCACAGTGGGAGGGGACCCAAGGGGGTTGCCTGTTCTTAGCAAATTATGAGAGGTCAGAGAGCCTAAAATGTATCTGAATCATAAGAGGGGCTTAGGAAATGTTAGTACATATCTTTTCTTTGCCACTTGACTATAAAATCCAACTTGAAATGACAACAGCACTAAAATGTATTAATACTCACTCTAAAAATACATTGTCCTCTTCCCTTACCTCATATTTTAAGCTTGTCAGCCAGAAAGCCTGTGCCTGGAGGGTAGCTAGAGCTTTTATACCAGTGGTCTGTAACGCCCATTCCATCTACTCTATTTGTACAGTATAAATATTATAATTTTCTTTTTCTTTTTTTTTTTTTTGAGTTGGAGTCTCACTTTGTTTCCCAGGAGCCTCACTTTGTTTCCCAGGCTGGAGTACAGTGGCACACTCACGGCCACCCCAGCGTGGATCTGCTGGGCTCCAGCTATCCGTCCGCCTCAGCCTTCCAAGTAGCCAGAACTACAGGCACATGCTACCATGCCTGGCTAATTTTTGATTTATTGTAGAGATGAGGTCTCGCCAAGTTGCCTGGGCTGGTCTGGAACCCGCGGGCTCAGGCAATCCACTCACCTTGGCCTCCCAAAGTGCTGGGATTACAGACTGAGCTACCAAGCCCGGCCAATATTATCATTTGCTATGTGTGTATAACATGAAAAAAACTGGGAAGCACTGCTGAAGATAGCAGTTCTCTAATGTGTCTATGAAACTGAGTCTTGAGTAAGCTGGAAAAAATGTACACACACACACACACACACACACACACACACACACACACACACACACACACAGCCACTTCAGCCTCAACCTGCTGGACCAAGTAATCCTTCTACTTTATCCTTCCAAGTGGCTGGAACCATAGGCACACACCACCATGCTTGGCTAATTTTTTGATTTATTGTAGAGATGAGGTCTTACTAAGTTGCCCAGGCTGGTCTTGAACCCCTGGGCTCATCATGCAGGCTTATTGTCTCCACCTTTCAAAGTGATGGGATTATAGGCATGAGTCATTGTGTCTGGCTATATTTTTGAAACTAAATTAGTGTACAGTTTTATGTTCTGAGTAAGGGGATGAACACTTTTCTAAAAATGAAGCTTCTTACTCTAAATTGAAGCAAATCTAATTTGTTTATATCTTTCTTGCCAATTAATGATGTCATTTGATTCTATACTTCTTAGTGTGGTCCTCTTTGACATCTTTGTCAATATCCTTACCCATAATCTTGCGGAACCAGCTTATGAAGCAGATGTGGCACAGCTGGAGTATAAACTGGTAGCTGGAGAACATGGTTTAATTATTCGAGTGAAAGGATTCAACCACAAACTACCTGTAAGTACAAGTACTCAGCTTTCCTCATAGAGTATGTTAAAAATACCATGTTTGTTTGTTGCCCATAGCACCAGGCATGGAAGTTTGTGCATGAGTTGCTGTACATAGAAATACATGTGTTTTTGTTTTTCCATTTTTATTTTAGGTTCAGGGGTACACATGCATGTTTGTTACATGAACATACTGTGTAGTGGTAGGATTGGGTCTCAGGTAACCCATTCCTTAAATACTGAACATTGTACCCAGTAAGTAATTACTGAATCCTAGCCCCCTACCCAGAAATGTCTGTTAATGTGGATTATCATGAGTGTTCTTGGAAAATGACAGTTATTCTAACTTTGTGCGTAAGAACAACATATATTTCATTAATTACTGGTAATGCATACAACACAGCTCATGCTTTAGCTTGATTTTACTTTTTTACTGTCATTTCTCTGCAGCCAACACTAACATTTAGGATTGATTTAATTTTCTCACCATATAAGGGGTCACCAAAAAAACAGAACAAAACAAAATTACTTTTTGGAGGGTGAGCCCCTTGTAGTACAAGCTTCCAAGCATTCTAGGAACCCATTGTCATCAGGGTACCAGCTAGCACTGTAAGAGGCTGTGTTCAGCTTCAGTTAATTTTTTTGGAGATTCGTTCAATAATGTATTAGCCCATTTCATGATGGGTGATCTACGAGCACACTTGCCCACGCTGTGTGGAGGGCTCAGCAGTTTTTGACCCAAAACGGCATGACTCCTGTTCTCTACTCGCCTTATTCTCTCAGTCTCACCCTAAGTGACTGTTTTTTGTTTCCCTGGATGAAAAAAGTCCTCAAAGGGAGACGTTTTGCCATTGTGGAAGAGGTGAAACAAAAAACAGTAAAGCACTAAAAGGTATCAAAACTGATGAGTTCAAAAACTTTTGAGCAGTGGAAAAAGTGTCTCAGTAGGTGTATTGCATCCAATAGGGAGTGTTTTCTATTATAAAGAATAAATATACAATTTTTTATAACATTTTTTTTTCTTTTTCTTGAGTTGGAGTCTCACTCCGTCACCCAGACGAGATTGCAGTGGCATGCTCCCAGCCACCGTTGCCTCGACCTGCTGGGCTCCAGCAATCCTTCCGCCTCACCCTTCTGAGTAGCCGGAATTACAGGCGTGCGCTACGGCGCCCAGTTAATTTTTGATTTATTGTAGAGATGAGGAGCGGGTCTTGAACCCGCGGGCTCAGGCAATCCACTCACCTCGGCCTCCCAAAGCACTGAGATTGCAGGCTGAGCCACTGAGCCCAGCCAACAATAACATTTAAAAGACCTGGCATATTGCCTGACATAGAGTAGATCTCAAATGCTTGTGCCCCTATTTCTCTTATACTCCCTCCTCAAGTATGTGTGTCTTATTTCCCTTCTATGTTTATGAGCCTTTTGAAAACAGGATCTTATGTCATTACTTATCTCTTGGGAAGGAATGTGTTCCGGTGCCCCTTTGTCAAAAACTTCATAGGCAGAGGAAAAAATAATTTGGGTTGCTAGCTAGGAGAGTCAGATCATTAAATACCAGATAAAGTAATATGCCTAACAGCAAATTTCATATCTAGTTTTCTTGGGTAGAATATATATTATTTTAGTAAGGTTTGGGGAAATGGGTCTATACAAGAAAACTTTTAGAGGAAAGGACTTGCCAGAAGTTAGACTTGTGCTAGGAGGTAGTAGCTCCGATCTTGGCAAAAACTTGAGAGAATAGTATAGCTCTTGCCTTTATGGCTCTCCCTTCTCAATCTCCCCAGGGAGCAAAGATTGGTTTTAGAAAGAGACACTATGGAATATTTTGCTTTTGTAAGCCTAAATATAGTAGCTTAAGATCCAAACAGATTAAAGCCAAATACAGTGGTTGTTATTTGGAAGGTATATTTTTAATTACCTGGACAGCTTTTTAAAAACAAAAGCCATAGGAAAGTATTTTATGTTTTCATTTTAGTAGGTTTACCTAGCTTTAATATTAAAACCTGGTAGAACATATGTATAGAAAAGTAGAGGTCAATTTCACCAATAGAATATAGATGCAAATTTCCCAAAAATTTGCAAATTAAATCCATCATAGTAAAAAGAATAATTCAACATGACAACATACCAGGAATGCTAGGGTTGTTCACTGTTAGGAAGTTGATGAGCATGACTCAGTATAATACAAATCCAAAAGAGAATCACTATATGAATGTATTGATAATTACTGAAAAATGATTTGGTAAATTTGAGTTGGCATTCCTAATAAATAGAAGTGGAGGGAAATTACTTAAACACTATGAAAACCTTAATTAAAAACTAGAACAGCAAGTGTTATATTAGCTGATAAAATGATGACTGTTGAAGCCAGGAACAAGCCAAGGATAACCTATGATCACCTGTATTATTATTATTGTTTTAGAGATTCTGGCTATTATAATATAACCAAAAAAATGAAATAAAACATTTCTTTGGAAAGGAAAAAATATTTTCCTTTGTAGGTGATGTCTGTATTCTTTGAAAACTTAAGATACTACTAAAACTAAAATAAAAATTAGATGTGATACAAATGATCAGAAGACCAGTATATCAAAATCACTGGCTTTTTAAAAAAAATATAGTAGCAATGGGTGGAAGTTATGTGTGGTGACATGTGCCTGTAGGGCCAGCTACTCAGGAGATTGAGGTGGAAGGATCACTTGAGCTTAGGGGTTCAAATTTAGCCTGGACAGCATAGTGAGACCCTTTCTCTTAAACCAAGAAAAAAAAGAAAGAAAAAAAAGGAAGGAAGGGAAACAAATATTACATTTACAATATTAAGAAAAACAATAAAATACCTAGGAATAAATAGGAAAAGTATAGGACCTAGCTAGCTAAAGAAAAACTATAAATCTTATTGAAGCATATAAAAAAGACTTGAAATAGAGACACATCGTGTTTCTGGATAGGAGAGCTTGATATCATAAAATTGTCATTGCTTCCAGAATTAATATATAAATATAATGTCCATCTAATTATAGTCACATTTTGGGGTGTGGGGATACTGGATGAATTTATTTATTTATTTATTTTTTTGAGTTGGAGTCTCACTCTTTCGCCCACACTGGAGTGCAGTGGCCGCTTCCGGCCACCGCAGCCTCGACCTGCTGGGCTCCGGCAATCCTTCTGCCTCAGCCTTCCAAGTAGCTGGAACTACAGGCGTGCGCTACCACACCCGGCTCTTTTGTTTGTTTGTTTGTTTGAGTTGGAGTCTCACTCTGCCGCCCAGACTGGAGTGCAGTGGCCACTCCCAGCCACCGCAGCCTCGACCTGCTGGGCTCCGGCAATCCTTTCACCTCAGCCTTCCAAGTAGCTGGAACTACAGGCGTGCGCTACCACGCCCGGCTAATTTTTGATTTATTGTAGAGATGAGGTCTCGCCAAGTTGCCTAGGCAGGTCTCCAACCCACGGGCTCAGGCAATTCACTCACCTCAGCCTCCCAAAGGCACGGGATTACAGGCTGAGCCATCAAGCCCGGCTGACGAATTTATTTTGAAATTCATTTAGAAGAAAAACATGTTTGAGAATACCCATGAAAACAATAAAGAAAAGAATCATTGCTCCAAGTTTGACAATTGAGGATTTTGGCCCCTGAAGATATCTTTTGAGTCCTTCGTTCTTCTCTCATGTTCTTCGTAATGCCTAGTACTGTGCTGGGACCTGGCGAAAACCAAAGAGAAACATACCCCCCCAGAACATAATGGATTTCTATGCTTCCCCACTTAAAATGCTCCTTTCTTTTCATTTCAGCTACTATTTCAGCTCATTATTGATTACTTAACTGAGTTCACTTCCACACCAGCTGTCTTCACAATGATAACGGAGCAGTTGAAGAAGACCTATTTTAACATCCTCATCAAGCCTGAGACTCTGGCCAAGTGGGTATAAACGGGATCAGCTTATGTTTTTAGGGCCTGAAAGTATTTGCCACCCTAGGGGATTGGTGTTGGGGATGAGGCTATAGCTTCAGGGCTAGTTTTCAGGCATGTGTGAATTGTGCTGTGGTTTAGGAACCCAGTTATAGAATTTCTAAATGCAGTTTAAGTTGCTGTCTGTGAGTAAGACTGAAAGCAGCCTACTGTACTTAAATTAAAAGTAAAGAAGGTTGTTTTTTTCCAATCATTGTAATCAAATAATAGTTAAGAAGTGCTGGCTTTTTTTGTAGCCCAGAATTGTTTGCTGGTGATCTTAGTGTGTTGGCGATTAATGACTGAGTTAAATTGCTTAACATGTCACTATTAGCAACCTTAACTAGTCAGAATTCAGGCAAGGTTCCAGAAGAGGAAAAAAAAGGCATCTGAACAGTCTATTTGATGATGCTTACACCTTCTGCTTAGCGACAACCCCCCCGCCCGGACCTTCCAATAGTCTGTTCTCACCACTTTAGTATAGAGCTAATGATAGCCTAAAGAATACTTTTGTTTGAGTCAGAATAAAAGTACCAATTTGATGTACCTTTGTCAGCAGATAGCGCCTTTGTGGCAGGGAGGGAAAAGTTGACTGAGCAGACCCAGCTCTTTGTGCATATGACTGCAAGCCCCTACTTACTCTCTTTGCTCTGGGCATCTGTTAATAGTGAATATCACAACCTCATATAGAGGCCCTGCTTTTGACGTAGTTATAATGAGCCCTCAACTACCAGAGTTAGAAAGCAGGGGAAGACAGGACTAAGAACCAGGCAAGTGATAACTGATAATCTGATCACAAAGTTACAAAAACTAATAACTAAATACAAATTGGAAAGGAGAGTTATCTGTAAGCATTGATATGGTAACGAATAGCCTTGATTATCTAGTAACCCCTGAATACCCCTGTGTATCCAATAAATACACTTAATCTTATTTTTTAAAATACTACTTTATTAAATACTACTTTTTACTTTATTAAAATTTGATAGAATAATAATACTTTGTAGGCTGGGCTTGGTGACTCAACCTGTAATCCTAGCACTTTGGGAGGCTGAAGGGAATGGATTGTCTGAGCCCATGGGTTTGAGACTAGCCCAGGCAACTTGGCAAGACCTTGTCTCTACAATAAATCAAACATTAGCCAGGTGTGTTATTGTGTGCCTGTGTGGTATTGTGTGGCTACTTGAAAGGCTGAGGCAGAAGGATCACCAAAGCCCAGCAGGTTGATGCTGGGTTGCTGTGAGCATGCCACTGCACTCTAGCCTTCTAGCCTAGGCAACAGAGTGAGACTGCAACTCAAAAAAAACTTTGTTTATTGAAGATTTATGTGTAAGATCCAAGAACGTGTGTGTGTGTGTGTGTGTGTGTGTGTGTGTGTGTATTTATCCATTTAATTCTAACCAAAACTCTGTTACTTCTCTTGCTTTACAAATTACTTCGTTTATTTTACAAATGAAGATATTGGGTCATAGACATTAGACTTGCCAAGTTCAAACAGCTTACAGTAGTGGGGGTGGGATTGTAGGTATGGTGGGTGGAATTAATCTGATTCTGAAGCAGAGCCATTACCTATGCTGTGTTGTCACTGCAGTAGTAGATATCCATAAAGGTGGCCTCTAGTGATTAATAAAATGTCATTGAGATTTCAAACCAAAATAGTAACAATTTTAAATTGGTATATGATTGAAAAAACTTGACCCATATGGCAACTTATGTGACATATTTTACTCTGCAACTGAGACAGATAAGTGTGTTTTGTATTGACAAGTAAATATATTTAAAGGTTTGTGTGTGCAATTTTAAGTACTCTTTGGTGCATATAACATTGTTTCCCCATCTTAAGTTGTGAATTAAATGGTCTCTCTTTAGAAACACATGATCTGTAGAAACTCACCAAATATTTCTTTATTCTCAAGATTCATTTCTTACAACAAAACTTTGATTTTCTTTTCCTGCCTTCTGTACAGAGATGTGCGACTTTTAATCTTGGAATATGCCCGTTGGTCTATGATTGACAAGTATCAGGCTTTGATGGATGGTCTTTCCCTTGAGTCTCTGCTGAGCTTTGTCAAAGAGTTCAAATCCCAGCTCTTTGTTGAGGGCCTGGTACAAGGGAATGTCACAAGCACAGTGAGTATGAGGTGCTCTGTTGCTGTAGGCCAGGTCTGAATGCAGTTGTGAACTCTGGAATTGCATCAGTTCTTCCCTGAAGGGGAAACGCTATAGTTTTGGCAGGTCAACATTGTCATATTCTGTTTAGGAAGGAACCTGTTCCCTCTGATGATGGGCAACTTTGTTTTTATGAAGAATACTGCTGGTAATAGACCAGAACTTTGAGTGAATGGGTTTTGGTATCTATAGTATTGGTTATGTTTATTGAAGATTGTATGTGGAAACCATAAACAGTTTAATGTAGTGATTAAAGTGGGAGGAGAGGAACAGTGAGGGATGTATACATGTATTCATACATAGTCAGAACAGTTATGTCAAGCTAAGGAGCTAGGGCTTTATCCTATAGCAAATGGAGAGCCATTGAAGCATTTAAGAGGATTTGTAGTTAAGAAATATCCAGAGAGACCAGTTAGGAGGAAGTTGTAAAAGTTGAAGTGAAATATGAGCTCACTTATAAGAGGTAGCCAAGGTAGTCAAATTCATAGAAACAGAAAGTAGAGTGGTGGTTTCCAGAGGCAAGGGGGAGGGGAATTGTTTAATGGGTTCAGAATTTTGGTTTTGCAAGATGAAAAAGTTCTGAAATCTGTAGCATATTAGTGTAATTATAGTTAATGTTATTGAACTATACACATCTTAAAATGGTTAAGATAATAAACTATGTTTTATAGTTGAAGTGAAAAACATTGAAGGCCGGGCTTGGTGACTCAACCTGTAATCCTAGCACTTTGGGAGGCCGAGGCGAATGGATTGTCTGAGCCCGTGGATTTGAGACCAGCCCAGGCAACTTGGCAAGACCTTGTCTCTACAATAAAATAGTTGAAGTGAAAAACATTGAATCTTGAGGTTAGGCCAAATAAATGAAAAAGAAGTGCTTAAGAAACAATGAGGTAGAAAATGGCCACAACCCAATGACTAAGTGGATGTGGAGGTAAGAGGGAGGGTGGAGCCTAGAGTGATGCTCACGTTTCTTGTTGTAGCAGTGGGTTGGTGGAGCAGGAACAGTGGTAGGATTGGGAGCATATGAGGAGTTTGTTCTTATACTTATTGAGCTGGACATGCCTGTGGGCATGGTGCCTGACTGAGGCCTCTTCCAGGCAAGAGAGCTTGGTCAGCACTCCCTCCCTAAATGGGTTGGCTGTTGACTATCTTCCTCTGTGGCCTCTCGGTTTCCCAGGACTGGCCCTTAGCTAGAAAATATAAATGGTCACTCTTGAGATTGTGGCTGCTATCTTCCCCTTCCTCTCTGTATTTATCCCCAGCCCCAAAACCAATTTTCGTTTCTGTCTTGCCCACAGAAAGAATTTTAATCTCAAACCACAGAGGGAAGAGAAGGAATAGCTGCCTGTTTCTCTGAGCACAGTGAGAGCTCCAGGCAGGTGCTTTTGGTCCAGAGTATTTAGTACCATGAATGAGCCCTCAGTGGAAACCACTTTAGAAAACGGCTCATCTCCCTCACTTAGCCCTCATTTTACAGATAAGAAAACAGAAATCTTGAGAGGGGAAGAGGATGTATTCACTTAGTATTCAAGCCCTGTGTCAATGGGCCCAGGTTTCCAAAATGTAGTCACAATTGTCTTAAAGGCTACAGCCTAGCTGGGTAAATTGACACTGAACAGTTACGTTTGATCCAGTTCGGAAAGGCATATGGGTGAAAAGAGTGCCAAGGGGAGCCAGGAGTGGAGCTGTTCAGCTAAGAGCTGCTTAGTCTTCAGCAAACATAATCAATATTAAATCAGGGAATGCTTTGCCCAATCAATGAATAACTTGTCCAGCTTTTGGGTGACAAACTATGTCTATGGTTACAACATTGATACTTGAATCTGGGTGAAATTAATGTCAAGAGGACCTAGTAGAGTTATTTTCTTGTCTTTTGCCTCCTAGGAATCTATGGATTTCCTGAAATATGTTGTTGAGTAAGTATCAGTTGGAATTTTCTCTTTGGGGATTATGTATTCTTACCAGCCAGGTGGGCATTGAGCCACAACTTAGTTATTGTTAAACCCACAGTTGAAATACTACTTGTAGATTTTCTTGAGGCTGGTATAAAGAAAGTAATTCAAAAGGGACTGTGGAAAGGCTGCCTGCTTCTTTGTGGGTTTTGGGTACCTCGGTGACCCATCTTATTCTTTTGCAGCAAACTAAACTTTATGCCTCTGGAGCAGGAGATGCCTGTGCAGTTCCAGGTGGTCGAGCTGCCCGGTGGTCACCACCTATGCAAAGTGAAAGCTCTAAACAAGGGTGATGCCAACTCTGAAGTCACTGTGTACTACCAGGTCAGTCAGTCCCATTGTACAGCCACCCTCATGGCCAAGTACCTTTAGGGTACTAAAGCCTGGTGGAAGGTCAAGTACCTGGGAATGAATGAACCAGTGACCTTCAAGACCCTTTTATAGTTACCTCTGTAGTTTTATGCTTGGGACCATTTGTCCTCTTGAAGAAACTACATTTAAAAATTGTTCCTGTTGCTAAAATGGATCTTTTTTCAATGACAGTGAGGTATTGCTTCATTAATCACCTAACAACCAATCTAGAGGAACAGAGACTGAAGTGTGGCTGCAAATTCCTACATTTTCCCCTGATAGACCCCTAAGCAGCAGAAGGACATTTGATAAAGGACAATTTTGAAAAGGAGACAAAAGTAAACATAGCCAAGCAATCAATATATAGCAAACAGAATGACTACCAGAGTCATAAAAGATTTAAAGTACCTGAGAGAAAGGATTTATCACCTCTATTTCATGAATGACAAATCCAAGGCTTAGAGTCCCTTACTTCCTGAGGTCATATCAGTTGTGTCTCAAATTTATTCCTTCTGTCTCAGTTTCTATTCTTTCCATAATTTCCATTAAGGAAGTGTTTTGCAACAAACTCAATTAGTCCATGGCCTGCTTCAACCTGTGGTTAGTCCCACTCACTTCTGGGACTGGGGATCTTCCCTAAACCTGTATCTGTCCAGCCTGATTTCTGACTTCCCAAACTCCTGGATTCCCTGCATAAGGAATTCACTTTCTTAGACCTTGTGAAGACTTCTGGTTTGGGCTTTGGGGGGATGGGCTTATTATCATCATCTTTGTCTGTTTATTGTGTTTCTGGCCCCAAGTCTGAGCTTTATCCTGACATTGTCCTGGTCTGGTTGTCAGCAGCAAATTCAACTGCCTGGTGTTATGGCCATCTTTCTTTATGAAGTTGAGCTTTGTCCAAGTCTTCTTAATGAATCCTTTAATTCAGGAGCCATAGCAGTTCTGGAACTAGACTGATAAATTTTGGTTCCTTCCTCGAGGACCACCTTCTCTGTGGAGCCTGTCTCCTGGCTATAGCATTCCAACCTGTGCTCTTTTCTAGGTTGTGTCTACCAAGTCCCAAACCATAAATGGTATGGCCTGGCCCCGCTTAGCCCAGTCCATATTTCCAGTGCCTCTGACTGCTCACAAGCCAGAGACAAGAGTGCTTTTCCAGTTTTAGGCAGAATTTAATATTGTAAGAATATGTCTGGAAGTGTTTTCCATTAGACACCTCTCAGCACTAGCTTCTAATACAGACTCCTTCTTTTAGGAAACCATATCCCTCCTCACAGAGAGCATTTTGTATAGATCATTGAAACAAGCTTTTGACTGGCATTTTGCAGCCCTTTTAGAGAAACAGGAATTCTCAGTGCGGCTGAATCAGGGCTTGCAGGCACACAGGCTTTGGCCTCTTCTTCTGGTGAAGTGGAAAGGAAGTGAGATGAGTCTGTGTCAGAGGAACCTGTAAGACTCTGGGATGTACTGGCAACATCCTTGTTTCTTAGCCTCCTGTCCTCCTTTATTCTGACTGCATCATCTTTCCAGGCTCCAGGGCAGCTGGGACATGGTCCCACAGTGTGGTTTGTTTCCTCCTGTTAGGTTTTTTGTTGTTGTTGTGTTAACTGGTTTGGGTCCCTGTGTGTGGATTCAGAAGCTCCTATTCATTTTCTTTCCACTTGAGAAGTAGATCCAGATCCTCTTCAGGACCCCCAAGCGTTTCCTGCTGTCCTCTTTAGAGCCTTGAACTGCAGGCACTTGATTCTAGCATGTGTTTATCTGGCCTTCTAGGTTGTCTAGGCAGGAGCAGCAGGTCAGGGATTATTGAACTCACCTCCATTTGCACTTGCAGTTCTATGCTAGTGCTGGGAAGACAAATGATCACGCATGATTTCTATCTTCACAGGCTTTCTATCTGGTAGAAGGCAGATATGTAAACAAAGTGAAAGTATGATGCGCTCTCTTGGGGGAAGAGAGTAGTGATGCTACCTGAATAAATGATTGGCAAGAATAACTGGATTGCCCTTTGCACTTGGAGACATTTCGTGGATGACCTACCAGCAGCAGCTCGACTGCACTTTATGAAATAGTGAAAAGCTAATCACTTCAGTATTGGAACCAGACTATTTTATTGTAATGATATTTGGTTTATAATGGAATTTTGGACATTGAAGAACTTATTTATGTCAAAGCAATTAGAATTTTATATCTTACAGTTTTCTGATGTGTGGTAATGTCAGACAGTCACCAAACATGCATTGCGGGTTCATTGATACATGTTGTACAATAACGTTTGACATCTTCCACCTGGTATTTTTCTATTTGAGTACACAATACAGTCTTGTTTTCTTCCTCTTTTATTAATATTATGTAATTTATTGTCCAGTCTGTGCACCACATGAAAGCACTTCACACACTCTCATTCTACGTAACGCAGGCTGATTTTTAAATATGTGTATTTCAGTATATATTCCATCTCTTTATTTGCTTTTTCATGCAGTTTGAATGGAAAACTTCAAGGAAACATACATCTTTGAAAAATTTGTGCTGGTATAAGTTCATCCTTTATAATAACCAGCAGTCTCTTTATGTCCCCTGAGAGGGAACATCTGAGTGGCTTGCTAGATTTACAATGTCCTCTCAGAGGGGACATCTGAATGCAAAGGGTTATGCTCTGCGTCATTGGATATTCAGTTGGTCTGACTTCCTTCTCCTTCCAGTCAGGTACCAGGAGTCTAAGAGAATACACTCTTATGGAGCTGCTTGTGGTAAGTGTATAAAGGAGAGCGAGGTGTTCAGGGGCCTCTGAACCACTGTGGGATCTGGCCTTTTCTGCCTGGGGGCAGGGCTAGACACTTGGGGTAGTTAGAGACCTGTGATTGGAAGGTGAAATGGTCATTTACTATTCTCACTCAGTATAAGCATCAACAAGGGGCCTGAGCTGTTTAGGAGAAAGGCACTAAGGGAGGCTGGACTTAGGAGCTATATGAATATGTATAGGGGAAGAAATGAAAGTTTCTCTGCTGGGAGCCAAGCTGATGCATTGTACCTTGAATTATAGATGCACATGGAAGAGCCTTGTTTTGACTTCCTTCGAACCAAGCAGACCCTTGGGTAAGTCTGCTGGCATAGGGCCTGGGGCTTACTTTGCAGCCTGAGGTTTATTCCATATCCCTACTGAGTGGCCTCTCAGAGATCTTTGGTCCTTCCATGCCTTAGAGTAATACCTACTTGCCTGAACTTGTTATTTGCATCTTGGACTATGATCAGGTTTTCAGTTTGGTCAAGTCTCAAGACAAGAAAAAAAGCTTGTTTGTGGTTTCCAACTCAAGAGAGAATTAAACACCTTAACATTTATGGGTCCTCTTTCAGGACTTCTTGGACCTCTTCATAACTAGAGCCTCTAAGGTCAGGGTCCAGGTAACCACCTGAACTCATATACACACACATATATATATACTTTTCATTCTGGCTGTAGGTACCATGTCTACCCTACCTGTAGAAACACTTCTGGGATTCTAGGATTCTCTGTTACTGTGGGGACTCAGGCAACCAAGTACAAGTGAGTAAGCAAGTGAATTGATGGGTTTAACCTCTTACTGTGGACATGGAGAGTTGGGGGATGTGAAATGTGCTTTCTTGAACCTCAGGCAGCTCTGACCAAGCATAGTTTGTTCTATTTAGTCAAGGGGGGTAGGGGTGGGGATTACAGGTGGCTTGATCGATAACTGATCAGTGGCTCCAGTGGTCCTATAGGATCTGCCAATGTTTCTTCAGGCAGCACAAGGGCAAGAAAGGCTGGAAACAGTTCATGCTGGAACCTGTTAGTTCTCAGCTTTGGAATGGTCAAACATGATTGTGACTGCTTCATTAGGAGGATACCAAGAAATTAGGCTGAAGTGGAGGAGTGGGGAATGTTCTCCATTCTTTTCCTTCCCTCAACTTAAGGTGGAGTTCTGAGGCTTGGGGAAAAAACTTTAGCTCCCCCTTTTTTCCTGAAACTGTGTCTTAGTCTTAATTCCTTTGCCTTCCACCTGAGACCAGGTCTCTGAAAACTTTTAATTAGAGGTGTTTTGTTTCAGTTCTGAAGTTGTTGATAAGAAGATCGAAGAGTTTCTTTCTAGCTTTGAGGAGAAGATTGAGAACCTCACTGAAGATGCATTTAACACCCAGGTGACTGACTGTGCCAGCATGGTCTTTTGGCCTTTGATCCATCCAAGCCCTCAAGACACCAGTCACTGGTCTTAACAGTGCTGGCCAGTTTTTGAGTTTTGCAGCCCCACCTTAATCTGACCATAATGTCCCCCTAACTTCATCCCTCCCTGTCATGCTGGCAGGATTCATCCCAAGTGTGTTCTGGGGAACTGGTGTGATGCTGGGCCTGAGCATCTTTCTTTTTGGTGGGAACAGGTTACAGCCCTGATCAAGCTTAAGGAGTGTGAAGATACCCACCTTGGGGAGGAGGTGGATAGGAACTGGAATGAAGTGGTGACACAGCAGTATCTCTTTGACCGCCTTGCCCATGAGGTAACACATTTTTCAGAGCAGGTCAGCCTAGACAAACTGGCGAAGGCTCCCAACTCCACAGGAGCCACAGGTCCAAGAAAACCAGTATTGTGTGGAAGGGAAACCTGGGATGCTCATCCTGGCCTGGTTACTTGCCTATTTCTTGACTAAATCTCGAGTTTTCAGACTTGCCTCTCTAGCCCCTAGCCCCTAGCCCCTTAGGTGGCCATGTGAGCTCAGTGCTAACCTTAGCACCTCCTTTCCCATAACCACCAATTCCAATCAGAGCAGGTCCATTTCTGTGTTATATGTTGAAGTTTGCAAGATCCTGTGGAGGAGAAAAAAGGGTTATGCTATTTAAAGAAAATTGAAAACTGTTCTACATGAATATGGAGTTCATTATCCTGGGTCCAAGTCTTGTGACAGCTTCTAGCCCACAGCAGTAAAATATATGAAAAAGAGCTCTGGATCCTGCAATCCAGTGCTACCTTGGATAATATATAACCTTACACAGTGAATTACCAGAGGACATCATTGCTCTGGAAGGCAGAGACTATTTAACAGAAGCTTCAGCCTAGCTCACTTTAGGGCACTCGTTTCCTTAGTAGAAGCAAGACAGGTAAGTTTACTTGTTTCAGTACCTGCTATCTTTCTCAAGCTGGAATATGCAGTTACTACATAACTAGAAAGTGACGCTAAGGAGTCGTGGGGGTGTTGAGCTCAGTGTATGGTATTCAGCTGTAGTTGCAGCATCTGCTAACCTCTCTTGCTTATCTGCCAACATAGATTATTCCTATAAAACATGAAGGTGTGTCACAGCTTCATCTTCATGCTTCTCTGGGAAGAATAAAATGAAGTCCTCAGATGCTAAGCAGGTCCAAGGATGCCTGGCGGGGGGTTACGTTTAAGAGCTACCTTTCTTCTTACACATCCTTCTTTCCTGCCTTCCCTTCCCCTTAAGATCGAAGCACTGAAGTCATTCTCAAAATCAGACCTGGTCAGCTGGTTCAAGGCTCACAGAGGACCGGGAAGTAAAACGCTTAGTGTTCATGTGAGTACAGTTAACTCCATCCATCCTTTCTAGGGCTGTCATTACTGAGTTCAGGCTGTTGTCAGAGACCCTAAACCCCAAATCTGGTCAGCTTCTTTCTTACCTTGCGTCTCTGACCTCTTTCAGGTTGTTGGTTATGGGAAACATGAGCTGGAAGAGGATGGAACGCCTTCTCGTGAGGATGCAAATTCTTGTGAAGCGATGCAGCTAACCTACCTGCCAACCTCTCCTCTGCTGGCAGATTCTGTCATCCCCATTGCTGATATCAGGGCTTTCACATCAACACTCAACCTTCTCCCTTACCATAAAATAGTCAAATAAACTGCAGTCTTGATGGCCTGAAGCAAAGTGTATTTAAAAATGTGTTTGTATTTTATGGAATCACACTACTGCTTTAGGGCTTCCATTGAATTTTTGCACTGGCATCATAGAGTTTGGTTTACTTTTTATCCCTTCTCTGTTGAGACTAACAAACCCTCGGTTATTGTAGGAGCTGGCAAAGAGAGAATCTCTGGTTGAGACTCTTGCCTCGAGTTTTTTCAGATCCCTATGCGGAGACACAGACCGATCCCTGGGTGGCACGGGTGGCGACTGAGGGCATCTCCACAGTCCACTCCTGCTTCTGGCCCTGTCTCCTTCTGCCACTGGGCCCGTGGGGTCAACCAGATGGCCTCAGGTGCTCTGTGTCTGTAATGAGATTCTCCTGGGACCCGGTGCCCATGCCACCCTTTTGGGGGAGAGGGGTGGCGTGATTGGTGGCTCATCCCTGCTCATGGATGTGTCATTTTCCTTGCCCTGGACTGGCATTTTGGGCTCAATTAGCAGGTGGGCCAAGTGTGATCAAAAAGCTTACAGCAGCAGTTTGAGAAGCCCTGGCCTGTGTCCTCTCAGGCTGAGAATCCAGATCTTGAAAGGCCCTATGTAACCGGTGTTAAGTAACTAAATGCGGGTATTAGTATTAGTACCTAAATGCTAGGTACTAATAGTACTAATACCTGCTTTTTTTTTTGGATGTATTTTTAAATAAAGATAGTTCTGTATTTCCCTTCAGAATGAACCATTTGCTGCTGTGGCATTTGTTTTATTATATTTTGTTTCATTGTGTGGTGGGGATCTAAAAATACACTCTTTTGAAACTCTCTAAGGCAATAAATTATTTTTGCATAAAATATTTTCAGCCCTAATGTGTGACATGAGTTCAGTGAAAACTGGGGAACAGCAGGCAGAGTGAGAATGATGGCTCCTCCGTTGTCTTAGGTGTCCCTTTGAAAAGCTAGCTCTGCATTCAAGGTTGGCAAATAATTAGCTCCCAAGTTTAACCATAAAGATAATAAAATAAGCACATTAAAAAAAAAAGTTGGAAAAATTACTTTATGAAGCCTTAAGAAGCACTAAGTATAATTAAACTATTTCAGGTTTAGGTACAATTTAATAATAGTTCAATTACAAAATAAAAGTTATTATAGGTAAGACCATGAAATATTTCTAACACTTGATTTTAATATATTGCGCTAATATTCTAAAACAACTCAGAAGAACACATATTTACAGTAAGCGGTATTTATGAAAAATCTGTCACTGGGCTTATTTGTGTGTATGTATGTGTATATATATGTATGTGTGTGTGTGTGTGTGTATTTATGTATGTATACATATAACCCAAGATTATATGAATGATCTAAGAAACAGAGAAGTTGTATCTCTTAACAGCAGTACTAGAGTGCAGAGTTTGAGACTTGAATTTATAAATGCTTTTCAACGCATGGGGTTTGGAAAAGGAGCAGACATCTTATTTTCAAAACCTGAAGTTTTTCTCAGGACTGAAGTCCAAATTGCAACTGCCACAGAGGAAAAAAGGGAAGCTTTTCCTGCTTTAATTGTTCATCTGCGTCAGAAAGTCCAGTATCCCTGAGATAGGAACCACTGTAATAAGAAGGGAGCGAACAGGTTCTCCCAAAGGAAGATTGTTTGTTGCGGAATTATGCCTACTGCCCTGGTCATCGATGTAAACTTAGTATTTTCCAACCTAATGCTTGGCAGCACCAAGACGTTTCAGTAATGGTTCATCATAAACCCAACATTCTCCATCTTCGTGAAATAACTGCAAGAGAAAAGGGGAGAATTTAGTTACACTTTTGCTTTGGACTTCTATAATATACTTATTTCATGTCTTCTCCCCTCAGTGTTCTGAAGTGAATTTCAAGTAGGGACCAGGGAATGTCTTGTTCATAAACAGTGTTTGGCACATCGCTTCTTCAACACTTACTGAAATGGATGAATGCGTTATTGCTCAGGGGACGGGGGAATGGGACTTGGGAGGCTGGAGCACGCAAGCTTACCCTCGTCTCCCACTGAATTTCCTTCTCCTTCCTTTCTCGGGCTTCTGCTCTTTGTCTTTCTTCAAGCCTGTGCTTTGCTTCAGTTGCAGCATCAATGTCTCTGATTTTTAAGTTGAAAGTGACATCCTTCCAAAGGCTAAAAAAAAAAAGAAAAAGAGGAGCTGGCAATCTTGAAAATAAAAGCCTAGAACCACCTATAAATGTAATATAACAATATAAGTCAAATGGCTTGAAGTGCTGTAGTTCACAGACTGAATCTCCTTAAGCTAGTACCAGGCCACTAGAGTAAACAACAGAGAATCGGGCCCAGAAGACTCTACTGCCAGTTGTCAAAGAACAGATGGGCAGCTTGATATATGGTAAGGGCAATAAGGAGAAAAAACAGTGGAGGCTGAGACCAGGTTTTCTACTTCTGGCTCTACCTCTAACTTGCTATGCAACTTTGAAGGAACCAGTGCATCTCTCCAGGACTTGAGTGTACCTTACTGTAAACTGAAAGGTTCAGATCAGTGAAGCTGAGAAGTCTGATTTCAGAAAAATTTCCTTAGATTTAAAATGCGGTCTTGAGGTAGCTCAAGCCAAGAATCCCAGCACTTTGGGAGGCCAAGGTGAGAGGACTACCTGAGCCCACGGGTTCGAGACTAGCCTAGGCAACTTGGTGAGACTGCATCTCTACAATGAATCAAAAAATTAGCTGGGCATGGAGGTGCACTCCTCTAGTTCCAGCTACTTGGAAGGCTGAGGTGGAAGATCGCCAGAGCCCAGCAGGTAGAGGCTGCAGTGGTCGGGAGCATGCCACTGCCCTCCAGCATGGGCAACAGAGTGAGACTCGGGCTCAAAAATAAATGAATAAACAAACAAATAAAATGCGATCTTGGAGAACAGTATGAATGGAGAGAATAAGGATCAAGAGGTTAAACTGCAGAGGCTTAAGGTTTAAAATGTGGCTTCCTCTCAAGGCCTTTATTCTCATTTCAGGAAGGGAGGCAGCGAGGTTAGGTAACATACTGTCCTTGGTCAAAAGGCTAGCAAGTGGTGGCTCTGACATATGATCCCAGGCATTCAAACTTGGTCTGTACTCTTGTGCTCTGCTATGCTGTCTCCAAAACCCCACCCCCTGCCTGTGCCTAGGCATCAGTGTAAGCACTACAGCAATAGTTCTCATTACGATGTCACCTTACCTACGGGATTCATACTCATTCTGATCTTCCAACTTCCTCACTTTCTTTTTGATTATAGGCAACTTCTTGGTATCTACAAAGACTGTATTTTCCTAGAAAACAGAAGTAGTAGTTGGATATTTTATTATTCAAACAGTTCTAGGAGGAAAAGTCAACTCTTCCCAGAAGACTACAATGAACAGATCTAATAACCAAATCCCATATATACTAATGATGTAGACAATGAGTTTCATATGCAGTTTCTAGCCTACAATAAAGTTATGTATCTTAAATCTAGAGGCTCAATTCAAAAATTCAATACGGCCGTGGGCTCCATGCTAAGGATATAACCTCTTGGGGAACCAGACCCATAAACAATGAATCTTAATGTTAAGCACACTGTGAAAGTGCTTTTCACATTTCAAATTTTGAACTAAGTTCAAAACATAGTTCACTGGCTCCTGTTAATTTCTTACCATCTTGCTCCCTTGCTCCATGAGAACACTTGATTGGGCGGTGCCAAAGAGTACATGTTCCTCGAAGGCAAGGACTGCCTTACCCATTTCTGTATCCCTAGTGCCAGGCAGTCAATACATTTTGTTTTACAAAAACTTAAACTGTATGTGTATACAAACACGTATACAAATTAGTTTAGCACTTTGTTTTATAAACATACCAGCTATCCTAGTGACATACATAACACTCTCTGGGTTCTTGCTGTGCCAAGCAGTGTTTTACTTACATTATTCTCAGGTGTTTTAAGAGCAAAGAGGTAAGTGAGTCATTCTCCTACCTGTACCCCTAGGGAGGTGTGGGAAGGAAAGAAAAGGCTTGCCCTGAGGAGATGATGTCAGAGCTGGCCTCAGTGGTCAAAGTTCAGGGGAAGGAAGCCAAAATAAGGGATAGGCTAGAATTCAATGTCACCTGAAACAAGTTGCAAAATACAGGTTCTTACCCCAGTTGCATGTTTTGCATACATTACACCATTCCATTCCCCTTCAACTGAGCAAAAAGACTTCTTGTCATTTGGAGAACTGGACAGAAAAGGAAACATATGTGTTAGTCTGAAGTTGAAAATTACCCAAGAGTCTGGTCGGTGGCGACACAGAGTGGAACACAGAAGAGCAACCGTGAAGTCTTTGGCAAAAGCAGCTTGGCTATAAGAATGAGGGTTCTGAACAGGACAGGATGCTTATGAACTCTAGAGTCCATGAAGAGTGGGTATAGGCAAGAGAGCTCTGTGTCGGGTGCCAGGGCCATAACAGACTTGGTGCATTCCCTGCCCTCAAGCTGTTCACAACCTAGTAAAGAGAAATGCTGCTACTTAGAGTCTAGCTGGTATGTGCTGTCATGAACTTATGTGGGCACTGAGGATCAAGGGAAAAACTGCTGGTATGCAGGTCAAGGAAGGGTTGGCTTAAGAATATAATGCTGGAGACCAGGCTTTTATCCTAAGGTTGAAAGGAACCTCTGGGCCAGATGGTGTGGCATGTCTTCATGAGCAAGGATCCTTCCTCAGAAGCCCTGAGAGGCCTCTACTTAGATACACAGGTAAGGAATTTGAGAAGAACATTACAGCAAGGGCCTGGTTAGGAATGGCAAAGCATGAGCAGAAGTCTGAAAAAGGTCAAAAAAGAGAAAAATGGGCTGGGTGTGGTAGCTCATGCCTGTAATTCCAGAACTTTTGGGGACAAAAGCGAGAGGATTGCCTGAGCCCACAGGTTCGAGATCAGTCTTGGCAACTTGGCAAGAACTTGTCTCTACAATAAATAAATAAATACTTAGCTTGGTGTGGTGGCACATGTCTGTGGTTCCAGCTACTTGGAAGGCTGAGGCAGAAGGATCACCTGAGCCCAGCGGGTCAAGGCTGCCATGGCTGTGAGCATGCCACTGTACTCCAGCCTGGGTGACATAGTGAGACTCCAATTTAAAAAAAAAAAAAAAGAAAAGAAAAATGGTCAGGGCAGAGGGATGAGAAGTGCTACCACCAGCCGAAACTTAAGTGTCCTCTGCAACTTGGGAGGATTGGGAGAAAGAGGACAATGGGAAAGAAAAATGGCAGGATCTCAGGTTTAGAAAGTCATCTCACAGTGGTTCCGAGTTTGATCTGGGGGTTCCCAAGGCCCTGTCAGCAAGGAAGTCCCCAAGGTCAAAACTATTTTCATAATAGGAAGACATTATTTGCTGTTTTCCCTCAATTTTCTCATGAGTGTACAGTGTTTTCCAGAGGCTATGTGGCATGTAGGAACAGAGTGAATTCAAGAAGCAGCTAGAAAAACCCAACTATCTTCTATTAATGATACTGAGATAAAATTTACAAAATATACAATGCCACTTTTCTCACAAATGCTTTTAAAGCTTTAGAAGAGTTTTTTCCATCAAAAGTGTCATTATCATCTGTAAATGAATTACTAAATATTTCAAAGTCTGTTTTAATTATTTACTTATTTATTTTTATTTTTGGGGGGTTGAAGTCTCACTCTGTCACCCAGACTGGAATGCAGTGGCTGCTCCCAGCCACTGCAGCCTTGACCTGCTGGGCTCCGGTGATACTTCCGCCTCAGCCTTCCAAGTAGCTGAAATTACAGGCGCACACTATCACGCCCAGCTAATTTTTTTGATTTACTGTAGAGATGAGGTCTCGCCAAGTTGCCCAGGTGGGTCTCAAACCCGTGGGCTCAGGCAATTCACTCACCTCGGCCTCCCAAAGCGCGGGATTACAGGCTGAACCACTGAGCCCAGCTGTTTTAATTTCTAATATGAAGAATATTGTTAGATATAGTCCACATAAACAAAGGCTCTTTGGGGTTCTTAATTTTCTTCTTTTTGGAGATAGGGGTCTTACTATATTGCCCAGGCTGGACTGGAACTCCTGGGCTTAAGTGACCCTTCCACCTTAGCCACCTTAGTTGCCGGGACTAGAAGTCCACATACTAAAAAGTTTGAGAAGCACTCGGCTGGTGCAATTCTCCTTCTGATGTTCCAATCCTAATTTAAAGAGCCCATCAAGAGCTCGTCCAGCCCTCCTTGAAGGCAGCCTTTCTACTGTATAAGGCTCCGACTGGCAGCTCCTGTTGGCATTGGTTACCTCCACGGAGTTTGAGAAGCAGGTCCATCCATGTCTTTCTTCAGAATATCCTATTTCCGTCATTTGCCTGCTTTTATGATGGGCAGCATTATAGCGGTGACTGTTCTCTAAGCCCTGCCCATATTTTCTGACTGGAATAATTTTTTAGATTTTACACTAATGCTTAATAAATCTCATGTTCATGGTCCCATCCTGCTTAAGTTGTGGATTCTGATTCTGACGTCCAAATTCAATTGTCTCCCTGGAAGACTGGTTACGCAGGTGTGTGTCTTCCTTTTGGAACACTGGCCCCAATAAAGCCTTCCGGAGAAGAGTCCTGTGGTGCATCACTGCAGACTTTCCTCTTCCAGGCAGGCTCTGAACCTGCCCAACTGTCTGTACTCTGCACAGTCGTCCTCATCTGACCCACAAGTGTCAAACGGAACCAAGTCAAATGCTGTAAGATGTTCTGGTTACTGTTTTTCCCCAGCAAAGGTACAGAAAAAAGGAGAGGCTGTGAGGACCTGGAGACACACTGCTGTGGGAGTCACAATGTCTGACTAGCTCATGGCCAGTCTGGTAAGAGTCCAGAATCTGGGTTGGTCAGGCGACCTAGGAAGGCCCTTTTCAGTTCCCCATCGCAAGGCCGGGTCCTAGGAAAGAAGCTTCTCAATGACCACTGACTGCTCTGAGCCCTGGTCTGAGGTCTCCTTCTGATACGGGACTTTAGGAAAAGACACACAAGCTGTGAAACAAGTTTACAAAGACAGGCCATTCTTTCGCATTCCTAACACAGAAGGCATAGTTCAAGGCCAAAGAAAAAGTATTGCAGAGAAGCAGAAGCGCACCGAGGCAGGAAAACAGAATACCTACAAGATCTCAGCAGTGATTCTGTGCTTCTTGCCCCCATAGAAAGGCTTGGTGTGGAAGACGATATTTGCACTATAGCCCGTTTTGGAACAACTGATACTGCATTCTCCTCCTAATTCCACCCAGGGCACTGTGAGGATAGACCTGCAACATCAAAAGTTTGGAGGTAAGGCTGACAGTTAAGAAGCAGGAGAGGAAGGTCGTGGTTGAGCAGCAGGCTCTGGGGCTGATCAGAAGAAACGCACACTTGCCTTCCATAACCATTGGGGAATGTGAGAATGTAATGTTCATCATGGTCCAGACACGAGACGCAGCCTGTGGAGAGAAGGGACAGGATCTCTGGTAAGTAGTGTCAACTGACCTCAAGACTTTGCTGTCAGGTTGAGAGTCCAGAATACTCCATGCCATTTAGGGATAACCTATCTAGTATCCCACCCCAGCTCTCACCACCGACATTGATGCTTACTTGCTACAGTGACATCTAGTCGCCCTTTCTGGGGCCATTTTCTCTTACTAGACAAGTGTCCAGCATATATTAGAATGATTAATGCTGGTCCACTCAGTGCCAAGAGACTTACCCTGTCCTATGTTGTGCACCCCGATTGACATCCCAAGGAATTTTGATTTGGTCCAGATATGAGCATTGAATTGGATCTTCTTGTTATAACACTCAGCATAAAAGGCTGAAACTGAATAGAAATTTTCAATTAGTACACTATATAGCTACAACCACCTCTCCAAGGTCACTTAATCTAGGGGAAAAACTGTCTCCATAGGGAAATCCTCTACCTCCAAACAGTTTCAAATTAGGCCAGAAGGGACCTACCTGCTTTTCATACCCCTCTACCCGATGAAAGCATCCATTCAGAGCCACGTGGGCAGAAGCATCCCTGAAACTTGAGGCTGTGGCCAATCCAGGAGGATTAAAATCAAAAGGATCACCTGTTCTCCCGATCTGCAAGTATGCCCAGGCCCCAGCCCCAGCCCCAACTTGGGCTTGTCCAGTATTTCCAGTCTTAATACTGCACTGAATAAACAAGATGGGGAGGGTATGTATGGTTGGCCCTCCATATCTGTGGGTTCTGCATCCACAGATTCAACCAACTGTGGATCTAAAATATCCAGAGGCCAGGCACAGTGACTCACACCTATAATCTCAGCATTTTGTGAGGCCAAGGTGGGAGGATCACTTGAGCCCAGGGGTTTGAGAACAGCCTGGACAACATAGTGAGACCCCCATCTTTACAAAAAAATTAAAAAATAGCCAGATGTAGTGGTGTGTGCCTATAGTCCTAGCTACTTGGGAGGCTGAGGCAGGAGGGTTGCTTGAGCCTGGGAGTTTGAAGCTGCAGTAAGCTATGACTGTGCCACTGTACTGGGTGGGTGACACTGCACTGCCTGGGTGACAGTGTCTTTTAAAAAAGTTGGAGGGCCGGGCTCGGTGGCTCAGCCTGTAATCCTAACACTTTGGAAGGCTGAGGTGAGTGGACTGCCTGAGCCCACAGGTTCGAGACCAGCCCAGGCAGCTTGGCGAGACCTTGTCTCTACGATAAAATAAAAAATAGCCAGGTATGGTAACACAAGCCTGTAGTTCCGGCTACTCAGAAGATTAAACTGGAAGGATAACCAGAGCCCTGCAGGCGAGGCTGGAGTGGCTGTAAGTGTGCGTGCCACTGCACTCCAGCCTGGATGAAGGAGTGAGACTCCAACACACACACAAAAAAAATTGGAGGAAAAAAACAATTAAAAATGCAAGTTATAAAAATAGTGTAACAACTTTATGTAACATGTGTTATATTAATCTAGAGATGACAGAGTATACAGGAGGCTGTCCTAAATAATGTAAATATACACACTACCATTTGATAAGGGTCTTGAACATCCTCAGATTTTGGTATCTGCAGGGGGTCCTGGAACCCGGGGGTACCGAGGGACAACTGTATTCTCTCCACTAAGCCAGGAATATACGGTGTAAAAACCACATATGACTTACACAAATTATCTCACAGTTGCTGAGATCTCCATGGCACAGATATAATTCAGTGACTTCTAAAGTATTAAAAGTTGGTTTCCCAAACCCCTTCTTTCTAAACATTTTAAATCAGTGAAGCTAAAAGAGTCTTTGGAATGTACATATACAAGAAACAGACATGAGGAATTGATCAACTTGAGTTTCTACTTCAGGTAATAGGAAAGACACAGCTGGCCACACAACTGACAGTACAGTAACCTCAGCTGTGAAGCTCTGAGTGACCTTTAGACAGAAAAGTTTGAGTGGAGGGGAGCTCTGTAACTTACTGGGTGGATGATGGGAAACCTGCTCAGCCACGAATGTGACACTGTTTTTGGAAACCCAGGGAACTGGTCCTTCTGAAACTAGCTCCTGCAAGCAAATATAACATCATGTTCTTTTGGTGAGGAGACACAAATGACATTTCAGAGAATGTAATAACTGGAGTCTCTGTTCCCTCTACACATACCATCACCCTACACACACTGTTGTTATACTACTTCACTACAACATTTTAAGCATTGCTTTGTGCCAGACTCCCTGACTAGACTAAGCCATTCTTGAAGGCAAAGATCATGTGCCTAGTTCAGGGCCAGGCCCAACACAGAGCAGACACTTAGCAATGTCTGCCAAATGATTCCGAACAGACACGTGCTATCTTCAGGAAGGACTACACGTAAAGTGTCACTTGTAAAGGGAACTACACAGAGAGTTGTGTTTACTAAAGACAATGATGTGCCAGGTGCTACAGGCTAGGGGATTTTTCCCACTTCTAAAAGTCTCTCAACATGCATTTGAGTCTCCTTGCTGGTTGTCGTCTTCTTTTTTTTTGAGTTGGAGTCTCACTCTGTCACCCAGACTGGAGTGCAGTGACCGCTCCTGGCCAGCGCAGCCTCGACCTGCTGGGCTCTGGCGATCCTTCTGTCTCAGCCTTCCGAGTAGCTGGAATTACAGGCGTGCGCTACCACACCCGGCTGATTTTTTATTGTAGAGATGAGGTCTCACCTGCCCAGGCAGGTCTCGAACCCGCGGGCTCAGGCAATTCACTCACCTCAGCCTCCCAAAGGCACGGGATTACAGGCTGAGCCACCGAGCCCGGTTGGTTGCCGTCTTCAAACCAACTTCTAACTGTTGAACCCTGGCACTCCGTTCTAGGTTACCGACTCTTCTGTAGCTATGCTGTCTTCCTACATAATGTCATTCAATCCTAGGGCTTTAAAATGCCATCGAAATATATTATAATCTCTCCCTTGAACTCCACCACTCCACTTCCATGTCTAACACACCCTCATACTCTAGAGTTCATGTCACAGCTCTTGATTTTTCCCTCCTCAAATAGACTTTCTTTTATTTATTGGTAATAAGATACTCCCAACTGCTTAAATCCACACAGAGACTCATCTCTGTCTCCTTTCCTTTACCTCCCCCAGACTATCCAAAACACAGCTGGATTCCTACGTCTCTCCTGGAATCAGACCGAAGCCGCCTCCGGCTATGGTCTCCATGCTTTTATTTTGCCCTTTCTCAATTTATTTTTCACAAAATCGTCATAATGATCTCCTCAAAACAATAATGAGATCTTGAAAGCCATCAAATTGTCATCATGGCTTACAAGGCCTTCTGATTTCCAAATCTACTTCCTTGTCTCATCCCATTCTTTTCCCCTTCTCACTATATTCAGAACATGCTGATCTAATGACAACGTTCTATGGGTGACGAGCACCTTTGGATCATTGCTTGCATCATTATCTGCCCCTAAATGAAAACACATCTTGAATCAGTACATGACGTAAGGAGTTAAAAATGTCAATGCAGAACTCACTGTGTTTTCTTCAGTATCATTTGGTAATGTCCAATGACACTGAAAAATCTCGCCCAAAATGGGGTTGTATGGCTTTTTGGCAACTGATCCTTTCCTTCCTGCATGAAAGGCTGAGAGGTACCATTTCACAACCTGAACCATTCGATCCTTGGGATCCTTCTGGTCACTAATGCTGCAAGGGAAAAAGACAAAATTTAATGTCCTGACTTTTGGCAGAATACAGTTGATACAGCACCCCAGCATGGTCCACCCTCAGCCAGGCTGAGAAACCAAGACCCGGGCCAGGAGTTACCTCAAACTTTCTTTTTAAACTGAGGCATGGCCAGACGCAGTGGCTCAAGCCTATTAATCCCAGCACTTTGGAAGACTGAGGCAAGAGGATTGCCTGAGCCTGAGGGATTGAGACCAGCCTGGGCAACATGGTGAGACCTCGCCTCTACAATAAATCAAAAAATTAACCAAGCGTGGTGGCACATGCCTGTAGTTCCAGCTACGTGGAAGGCTGAGGTGGAAGTATCGCCTGAGCCCAGCAGGTTGAGGCTGTGGTGGCTGGGAGCATGACACTGCACTGCAGCCTGGGGACAGAGTGAGATTCTAACTCAAAAAATAAATAAATAAGGCTGGGCTCGGTGGCTCAGCCTATAATCCCAACACTTTGGGAGGCCAAGGCAAGAGGATTGCCTGAGCCCGTGGGTTCGAGACCAGCCCAGGCAACTTGGCGAGACCTCATCTCTACAATAAATCAAAAAATTAGCAGGGCATGGTAGTGTGCGCCTGTAGTTCTGGCTCCTTGGAAGGCTGAAGTAGAAAGATCACCGGAGCCCAGCAGGTCAACACTGGGGTGGCCGTGAGTGTGCCACTGCCCTCCAGTCTGGGTGATAGAGTAAGACTCCAACTCAATAAATCAATAAAACTAAAGTATAACAATATAATTAAATGCACCAATCTCAGTGTTTTGTGTGAGGATTTGACCAATGTATATATCCATTTAATTATTCACCACCCAATGAAGAAATAGAATATTTTGATTATTCTATGAAGTTTCTCCGGTCTCTCTTTCCAAACAATCACCACATCTCACCTTAAGGCAAACACTGTTTCTGGCTTCTAGTACCACAGATTAAGTGCATATAAGTACACTGTTTAATTGTTCAATAATTGGAGATTTAAAATTTCTAATTGAATAATTCTTTCATGGTCAGAGAATATACCCTGCATGATTCCAATTATTATTATTTTTATTACAGAGTTGTGGGGTACAAGTGAGGATTAACTACATAAGTAGGCTAACTGCAGGTGAAGTCTGGGCTTCTAACTGTCCCTCCCTCTCCCTGGAAGTGGACCAGGTACTCTCTTTGTTGTTAGTGCCCCCCCCTCTCATCTTCCTCCCCAGCAGTGCCTTGTGACTGCCGATCCCACCCTTGTGTGATTCCAATTATTTTGAATTTATTAAGACTTCCCTATATATGGCCTATCCTGATGAACATTCCATGGGCACTTGAAAAGACTACGTGTTGTAGCATTGTTGGACAGTGTTTAGAAAGGTCGACTGGGTCAAGCTGACAGATTATCTGTTTGAAACTTCTATTGTCCGATTCGGGGAGGAGGAAGGGATGCAGGGGTTGCTTGTTCAATCAGTTTCTGCGGAAGGCATTTGTGGACTTGTCTATTTCTCAGCCAAGCTGAGAAGAACAAGACCCGAGTCAGGAGTTACCTCAAAGTTTCTTTTTAAAACTGAGGTATGGTCAGGTGCAGTGACTCAAGCCTATAATCCCAGCACTTTGGGAGGCTGAGGGAAAAGGAATGCCTGAGCCCACGGGTTCAAGACCAGCCTGGGTAACATGGTAAGACCTCGCCTCTACAATAAACCAAAAAGTTAACCAGGCGTGGTGGCACAGAAGGATTGCCGGAGTCCAGCAGGTCAACGCTAGGTTAGCTGTGAGCATGCCACTGCACTTCAGCTTGGGCGACAGAGTGAGACTCCAACTCAAAAAAAAAAGCCTCCTTTGATGCTAATACAGCTACAGCAGTTTTGCTATGCTTCATGTTTTGCATCATGTTTTTGCCTATCCTTTTAATCAGTGTCTTTATGTTTAAAATCAATCTCTTGCAAATATCATCCAGATGCATTATGCTTTTTTTTGAGTCGGAGTCTCACTCTGTCACTCAGGCTGGAGTGCAGTGGCATGCTCACGGCCACCCCAGCATCTACCTGCTGGGCTCTGGAGATTCTTCCACCTCAGTCTTCCAAGTAGCTGGAACTACAGGTGCGCGCTACCATGCCCGGCTAATTTTTTATTTATTGTAGAGATGAGGTCTTGCCAAGTTGTCCAGGCAGGTCTCAAACCCGCAGGCTCAGGCAATCCACTCGCCTCAGTCTCCCAAAGTACTGGGATTACAGGCTGAGCCATGGAGCCCGGCCACATCATGCTTTTTTATTCAGTTTGACAAATACTGTTCTCTTAAATGGAATGTGTACTCTATTTATATTTAGTGCTATTGTTGATATAGTTGGGTCTAACTCTTAATATCTGCTTTCTTCCTTTTTTTAGTCAGAATCTCACTCTGTCGCCCACTACAGCCTCAACCTGCTGGGCTCAGGTGATCCTTCTGCCTCAGCCTTCCAAATAGCTGGAACTATAGGCAGGTGCCACTATGCCTGGTTAATTTTTTGATGTACTGTAGAGATAAGGGCTCGCCAAGTTGCCCAGGCTGGTCTTGAACCCGTGGGCTCAAGCAATCCTCTCGCCTAGGCCTTCCAAAGTGCTGGGATTACAGGCTTGAGCCAGTGTGCCCGGTTGATCTCTGTTTTCTACACGCCCCTTTTGTTTCTTATTCTATTATTTCTCTTCCCCTCCTTTTAGGGACTTAATCAAGTATTTGTAATATTCCAATTAATCTTATCTATTGGCTTTTCAGCTGTTCTATTCAGGTTTTCGTTTGTTTTTTAAAGACAGGATCTTGATCTGTTGTCTAGGTTGCAGCAGTGCAATCATGGCTCACTGCAGCCTTGAACTCCTGGGCTTGAGCAAACCACCTGCCTCAGGCTCCCAAGTAGCTGGCTAATTTTTTCTTCTAATTTTTTTTGTAGAGATAAAGGTCTTGCTATGTTTCCCAGGCTGGCCTCAAACTCTTGGCCTTAAGTAATCCTCCTACCTCAGCTTCCCAAAGCACCAGGCCTGTATTTTTTAAGTGGTTCCTCCACGGACCACAAAGTATAAATTCTCACGCATAAAACTACCCTTAAATCTCAAATCGGGGGGATGGGATTAACAGTAGCAAATATCTGTCTGGGGATGGGAAAACATCTCTTATCAACAGGGTGCCTGAATGAAATGTAATTGTACACCTAACCCTTAACTGTACCCCACAAAACCATAATAAAAAAAAAGAGATTGAAAAGACCAAAAAAAAAAAAAAAAAAAAAAATCTGAAATCTATAACCAATGAACAACTGGTACTTTCCATTTTGACTTACAAATGCTACGCTTAAATTTTGCTTGTTAAATTATCTATTAAACATTGTTATATTTATTTAAATTTCTGCCCTTTGGGAAGTAAATGATTCTCTAAAATCTTCATCAAGAAGATAAAGAAAAACATATTTATATCAGCCAATGTGCCCACCCACCGTGAAACCTTAGTGATTTGTATTTGGCTTCAGTAAACCACAGTCCAATACCAAGGAATGCAGAAAAGATGGGCTAGAACATTCTCTGTTACAAAGAAAATCTTCCTGCTGCTATTGAAAAGCAATGTGAACTCACCTCCTTGTAAATCAATTCCACTTTTATGTTATTTCTATCCATTGTACATACAGGCATAATGCAAACTTTACACTTAAAATATATGAATCAGTCTGTAATTTGGACACCAGACTGTAAACTCCTCAAGGGCAGACACTGGGACTTTTCTTTCTCTAACTCATAACTAAGTGCCTATCAAACAAGTGCTCAGGAAATCTGAGCTTAGATAACTGAACTTCATTAGGATGAGGTATAAATAATTTAACAGTGATTACCAATGCCTGGATCAAATAAGCTTATATGCTGAGCCCTATAAATAGTGGCCACCTATTAATGGGCTCTTAAGAATTTATGTAAATTTCATTAGACTTGGTTGCTTAGCAACATCACTACTCTATAAATTAAGCAAACAGGCATCCAGTACAAACACACTGTTCAATACCACTTTAACCCAGAAATGTCTGAAAGGTGAGAAGGAATCCATCTATCCAAAAGGTAGAAAGATACTGAGTGACATCTTTAAAAGTTGTAGATTACTGTGTTCAATCAAATACCTCACAAACAGGTCCGGATGTGCAAAAAAGTCTGCGTACATTTCTAAAAGAGATCTTCTTTCAAGAATAAATGTTGGAAGAACTACCTGAAAAACATACACATTTTGACCCTTGAGTATCAAACTGCACTACAAATAAACAGGTTGCTAAACTGCTAAAACCAAACAAACACACACACACTTCATTTCAATCACGGTAATGCCCACCCATATTGCCCAGGTATGCTTCTAAAAACTACTTTCCCCAACTGCTCAGATTCAGAAATGCCGATTAACTCGCCCAGCAGATGAAAAATGTCCAAATGTCACTTCCACTGTGTACCCTCCCTTTTCTACCTGAGGGTAAAAACAACAAATTGCTCAGTCGCGATCTTTGGATGCCTACCTGCCTGGCATTATATAGACATTATCTTACTAAATTGGACAACAGTCCTATGGTGAAGAAATTACTAGCCCTATTTTATAGGAGAGAAATAAAAGGCTCTGAGAAGGTGAGCAGTTTTCCCACTTTCCCATTATTCATGAGGAACTCCACATCAGGTCTGCCTGACTTCAGGGCGTCTGTGCACTTTCCAGTCTAGCTGTATGGGAAATGTATCTACTTATGAATTTGTATCCTCAAATATATGATGAGCTCCTAGAATTTAAGAACCAAGTTTTATTCACACTGGTGTTTTCCTTGCTATTTACATAGTAAGAACATATTATTTTTACTTTTTTAGAAACAGGGTCTCGCTCTGTCACCCAAGCTAGAATGCAGTGGTGTGATCATAGTTCACTGCAGCCTCGAACTCCCAGGCTCAAGCCATCCTCCTGCTTCAGCTTTTCATGTAGCTGGGACAATAGGTGTGTGCCATCACATCTGGCTAAATTTTAACTTTTTTGTAGAGATGGGGTCTCACTATGCTGCTCAGGCTGGTGTCGAACTCCTAGGCTCAAGTGATCTCCCTACCTAGACCTCCCAAAGTGCAGGGATTACAGGTGTGAACCACTGTGCCCAGCAGAAATTTCTTAATGAGCAATTAAAGGAATAAACAAAAGGAAGGAAAGAATAAAGACTAGGAACCAATAAATTAGAATATGGGGAAAAAAATGAGAAAGATGAGAGTTAACTGATAAAAAAGAATAGAAGTCAGGTAAGAATGCTGAAAAAGAAAACAAGGGCGTATATAAATAGCTCTTGCAAATCAACAAGAAAAAGAGCACTACACGCTAATAGAAAAATGGACAAAGGAATTCAACAACCAATAATAATAATAAAAAGAACGGTCAGAAAACATAAAAAGTTTAATTTCACTTGTAATCAAGAAAAAAAATACTTCCCCCACTTAAAGTTTTTCTTGAGAACTCTCATTCAGCAACAGATCTTCAATGTTTTTTAGTAATATATAGATACATGCTATTAAGTCAAACTCAGGTCAGATCCAGCTCTAGGTTGCTATGGCCTCTTTCTGGGGTCTCAAGGGGTGACTGGATTCACTTAAACTCATCAGACTCTTACCACTGACAGGTTTAAACAAACACATGCCACTGGCCAAGGAGAAGTGGACCTTCTAATGGACAACTTCTGGAAAAGCTGTATGGGAAATGTATCTACTTATGAATTTGTATCCTCAAATATATGATGAGACAACAAGAAAGCCAGCAGCTATGCAATCTAATGGTTACTGAAGCAGTTCTGGTGACAAACTACTGCAAATATTCTTCTACCTAGAACATTCCTTGAACAATATGTTGGGCTCCCCAAATAAATGTTATATTTGTGTTTCTATTCTCTCTTATATTAGGGATAAAAGGTTTTATTATGGATACTTATTAGAAGGTATGGATAAATCTTTTTCTTAATGGCCCGCTAACTCTAAAACAAAATAAAGTCCACTACTGACAAAGACCATAGCACTGGATTGACTCTGTGGTAACAAAAGTAAAAATCCTCATCGGGGGCAGTGGCTCATGCCTATAATCCCAGCACTCTGGGAGATGGAAGCAAGATGATTGCTTGAGCACAGGGGTTTGAGACCACCCTGGGCAACTGGGTGAGACCTCATCTCTACAAAAAAATATTTAAAAGTTAGCCAAGTGTGGCGGTGTGCACCTGTAGTCCCAGTTACTCATGAGGCTGAGGTGGGAGGATCACCTGACCCAGCAAGTCAAGGCTGCGGTGAGCCATGATTGTGCCACTGCAATCTGGCCTGGACAACAGAGTGAGACTGCGACTCAAAAAAAAGGGTAAAAATCCTAAATTTAATTAACCTTCTAAAGCTAGTAGAATAATACTGTCACCAGTATGAAAGCTACTATTGCTCAAGTCTGCAAGACAAAGGCAGTAGTGGAAAGATTACAGGTTTTAAAACCATAGACCAGATTTGAATTTGTCTACCACTTAAGATGATTCAGTCAAGTTACTTAGTCTCTCAAGTTTTAGTTTGCTCATCTATAAAACAGTTAACAGCAGCACCTACTTTGCAGTGCTGTGGTGAGAATAAAGTGAAAGGATGAGGCTTCTAGCACAGTGCCAGGAGTACACAAAGGCGCCCACACCAGTCTCTTAATTTGGGCAGGCACTGTTTAGAGCTCCAAGTTTAAATTCAAATCCAGACTACAATAACTGTACAACTCAACATGTGTCATACAATCTTACATTCGCTGCCTCTTCCATGCTGCGTGAGGGAACCCTGCAGACCACAGAGGAAGGGACTTGTTCAAGGCCACGTGGTTGGTAAAAGCAGAGGCAGGATGCAGACACACTCTGACCCCAGGATCAGAATGCTGCTCATTTCGATTCTCTACATACACAGTGCTTTAGGCTGTGCCCCAACTACTAACCAAGTCCAATACTATTTCTCATTTGCCCCCAAATAAAATCCTCATCTTAATCCGTATAACCCATACACGCTATGCGCTATGAAATTATTCCACCTTTACTTACTGCATCATTTATAACATTTTCAGTCTACATATATATTACAGCACAAAAAGACACACGTATAAACACAAGTTCTATCATCTGACTCACCATGCAATCACCAAGCACTCATACACACACATGCAGACTTACACAGCTTTGGCCCTTACCTTGGTGAGATCCATCCCTAGCCTGACCTGCGACAGGAGGTGCATGATGACACTCTTGTGCTCCTCCACCGACCCTGCCTCCCCATCATCATCTCTATCATCATGTGAGTCGAAAAGGTCTAAAAGGAAACACATCTTATTAGACTGGTGCTCAACTGGCCCAGTCTGTGCTGCTGCAAGCATCACAAATGTTTTTAAGAAAAAAAGTTAAATTCTCAGAGGTCACTTACCAGCATCACTTGTTCCATTGGACATGGATGAATTCAGAGATTCTGTGGTATCTGGCCGCTTCAGACTGTTTCCCGAGCTGCTGTGTGTCAACACTGAGGCAGACCCAGAAGAACTATAAAGACACGAATCACCTTCGTAAGCAGAAGAAAGCAATTGAGAACCACAGCAGACATCTACAAAGCCACTCAGAACCAAAATATCCAGACAGGTGACAGAAACAGACTAGATACTGACAGTCGGTTATATACTTGTAGATATACACTTTCCAACTTCCCCCTGCCTCCCTCATTTCAATACTGTAAACCGTCAAGTCTGATGATCAAGTCTCTTGCTTGTGCTTTATACATAGGGTGTGCTCAACAAAGCCATGTTGAAAGGCAAGGTCTGAAGATCATCAGAAATTCACGAGATTTTTGCCTCTGCATCTAAGTTTAAAACTAGAGTTCATTTTCTGATTTTGTTAGTTTGTATAAAAGCAGATAGATTTGTCACAATTCTTGGCAACAATTTCCAGAAACTTAAAAATGGCAATAGTCTAGCACTAAATAGTTTCAGAAAGATGTCTTGTCTTTATTTTTGAGATCCTCTGATAAAAGCCTATGTTGGTATTAACACTCTGCCCCCCCAAAAATGTACTTTGAATTATAAAATAAAAAAGTATTATTATTTTTACAAGTAAATTTATGGTAACTGGCTTTATGAGCTGGTTGACAGGTCTCAAGAAAGCTTCTTTTATGACATTATTATACCTGTGATCATAACGTACTCAGGTAAGAGTGGGTGTGAGTGTGTGTGTATTTATAAATTTATATTTTCTGTAGAGACAGGGTCTCACTATGTTGTCCAGGCTGTTTTGAATTCCTGGCCTCAAGCGATCCTCCCACCTCAGTCTCCTGAGTTGTTGGGACTACAGGCGTGTGCTATCATACCCAGCTAGTATTTGTACATAAATAAAGGAATTATCAGAAAGGCATACAGTTAACTTATTTAAAAGCAGAAACCAAATGTATTTATATTTATAAAATTGTACACATCTAGTATAATAACAATCTTTTTACATATCTGCAGGTGTGAAGCAGATGTATTCTAATCTCCACATAGTTGCCCTTGTTACCTGCATTCTTTTGATTTTTAAAATTAATAAACTTTATTTTATAAAGCAGTTTCAGGTTCACAGCAAAACTGAACAGAAAGAACAGAGCGTGTCCATATACTCCCTGGTCCTGCACACGTACAACCCCCCTTACTGGCAACACCCCACACCAAAGTGGTGAATTTGTCACAACCCATGAGTCTACACTGATGCATCATGATCACTCAGAGTCATAGTTCACCTTAAGGTTCACTCTTGGAGTTGTGTATTCTGTGAGTTTTGACAAATGTATGACGACATGCAACCACCACTATATTACATGACACAGAATAGCAGCACTGCCCTAAAAAGACTCTGCTTATATTAGAATACTATAATATTATAATACTAGAATATATTATGTATTCTAATTTAAACACAGTTTGCCCAGGTTACTTACTTTCTTTTGATTTATTTTTCTTTTCTTTCTTTTTTTTTTTTTAAGTTGGAGTCTCACTCCGTTGCCCAGGCTGGAGTGCAGTGGCACACTCATGGTCACCCCAGCGTCAACCTGCTGGGGGCTCAGGCTATCATTACGCCTCAGCCTTCCAAGGAGCTGGAACTACAGGCATAAACTACGACTCCCGGCTAATTTTTTGATTTATTGTAGAGATGAGGTCTTGCCAAGTTGCCCAGGCTGTTCTTGAACCCATGGGCTCAGGCAATTCCCTCACTTTGACCTCCCAAAGTGCTGGGATTACAGGCTTAAGCCACCACTGGCCTTGATCTATTTTTCAAAACTCCTTAAGTAACTAAATATTGCTTTTTTGATAATTTAATAGCATACATCACAAGGCAGTATAACTAATGCCTACCTCACCAGTTTTGAGAAGCAATGGAAAATATGAGCAAAACACTTAGCTTAAGAGGAATCTAATTATCATTAAATAAAAGAACTGCAGGAAAATGATCTTTAAAATGTTTTGTGGTTCTCTATCATCAAAATAAGGTCAATATTTAAATCAATTGATCTAAAACTCCAAGATACTATATAACATAAATCTTATTTTAGATTCAATTCTAAACTCAGACCTATTTATGCTGTGCTTTTTCTCCTTACCCAGAGTTAGAAACCACATCTGAAGCCGGGCTCGGTGGCTCAGCCTGCAATCCCGCGCCTTTGGGAGGCTGAGGTGAGTGGATTGCCTGAGCCCGCGGGTTTGAGACCCGCCTGGGCACCTTGGCAAGACCTCATCTCTACAATAAATCAAAAACTAGCTGGGCGTGGTAGCGCACACCTGTAGTTCCAGCTACTTGGAAGGCTGAGGTGGAAGGATCACTGGAGCCCAGCAGGTCAAGGCTGCAGTGGCCAGGAGCAACCACTGCACTCCAGTCTGGGTGACAGAGTGAGACTCCAACTCAAAAAAAAAAAAAAAAAGAAACCACATCTGGGTCAAGTGAAATACTCAATAAAGTGAAGATGAATAAAGAATGGGATAAATTCTCAGTCATTCCATAGTTTATCTTGTTCAGGACAAAAGATTTAAAGAATACAGCTAAAGTCAACAACAATATCAAGGCATACAGGAAAGTTTTATCTGCAATAGGCTAAGTTGTGTAGCATTTGGGCATAAAAAATAAATAAAGCATACCAAAACATTTAAAACGCTGAATTAAATCACAATAAATTATTGAGTACTGAGTATATGCCACACACTGTTATGTCTGTATTTCCTCAGCCACTCAAAGCAGACATAATTACTCTCATAACACACAGACATTCATTTCAAAGGAATGTCTGGCTCCAAAGCACAAGTTCTTTCCAACAAGTATTTTTATCTGATTTATAGACATGTAAGCCATACTGCTAAATAACATAGTTCACACAGAAGTGTTCGCTACTATTAGTCTTTAGACATAAAATAGTAAAAGGACATAAGTTTCAAGTTCTCTTTCTTCAGAAAGAGGAAAAAAACCACAGAAATGTGACCTCGGCGTTACAAAACTAGTGGCAGCAGTTGACCAGCAGATGTCACAGCTCAAAAGCCTACAGAAGCCAAGCAGAGAACAAAGGTATGTGAACAGGGCCAAGACATAAACAATATGGAGCTGTAGTCAGCAGCCTAATCTGAAAAGACTTAAAGCCCCATTAAAAATAAAACAAAAAACAAGCCAACAGAACACTGCTGCCAAAAGAAAACATCTGTATCTGTAGTCCCTACCATTCAGGGTTTCCAGATTCGAATATATATGGAGAGTACGAAACTGAGGGAGAAAAGGAACCCAGAGTGGGTTAGCTAGACATAAAACTTGACTCCAGGCCCTTTCAAATGAGGGGTTCACGAGCTGTGTTTGTTATGGGACAGGGGCCTGGAAGAGCATAGAGAAGGAAGTTTAAAAGGAAGAACAGGAGAAACTCGTGGGCCTGCAGGTGACTCTGGAAACATGACTATTATGGGAGCTACAGAAAAGGGTTTTAAATATTTCTATTTCATAAACATTTCAGGAGAATCCCTTAAACTGGGGCCAGAGAGTGACTATCAGTGATGTTCTAAGAACCTAACCACATATTATCCAGCTTTCACTGTATAGTCATATGCTTTTAGAGGATGGACAGATGAGTCTTACTAGCAAGTGATAACTCAATTGTATTTTGTTTAAAATAAAAGCTCATGTTTGGTGTCGGAAATCATTTCTAATTCTGTTTTAAATAAAACAAAGATGGAACCCTTTAAAAATTAATAATAACCTTTTACTTTGGAATTTTCTTTAAAATGCTTATTTTCCTTGATCCCTATTATCATTAAAATTTTTTAAAAGTTAAAGTGAAATTTCTATGGGCAAACTGCTAATAATGATGTCTCAATAGTTTATCTCTTAACATACCACAAGAAGAAAAAAAAACCAAGCTACAAAACAAAACTCTTTCTGTTAAACTGGTCTTCTTCTGTTGTACATTCAAACCTCCCTTTTAACTCAAGTTCCATGTCTTAACCATATGTGTTCACCTAGAGCACATCCATTTCACTTTTTTCCACATTCGAAAGCTGAATTTGATCCACTAAGCCAAGAAAACTTTAAGAACCAACAAAGTCATGTTCTGTATAAATGCTGAGATATTGAGCAGTTATGATACAACTGTATATGAATGCCATATTTTTCAATTCAGGTGTACAAGTAAGAGAACTAGGGTCCTATATGATATTTCTTATTTAAAGAAACCAGACTAGGTGTAGTGACTCACACCTGTAATCCCAGCACTTTGGGAAGCCAAAGTAAAAGGACTGCTAGAGCCCAGGAGTTCGAGACTAGCCTGGACACTATCTCTACGAAAAAAAAAAAATTTTTTTTAAATAGCCAGGCATGGTGACATGTGCCTGTAGTCCCAGCTACTTGGGAGGCTGAGGTGGAAGAATCACCTGAACCCAGGAGGTTGCAGGTGCGGTGAGTCGTGATCATGCCACAGTACTCTAGCTTGGGCAACACAGTGACATTCCAATTCAAAAAAGCAACAATAACATAAAAACTTTTTAAATTAAAAAAAGAAGAAGAAGAAACCAACATTCAAGGTCTATGGACTGGCTGATGGTACTTAGATTGCAAATTCATATTTAGTTATTTCCAAATCTATACTATTTTCACTAACAAAAATCCTAGCTATAGCAATGGTACCAACCCCGAGAATGCAGAAGTGGAAAAAATATCCCACAAAAATAAAGCCAAATACATCTATAACACACACAAGTAAAATTAATAATAAAAATAACAGCTATTACTTATTGAGTGTTTATGATTATGTGCCAGACACTATTTTAAGCACTTGTTATATTATTCTCACTTAAATGTTCACAGTGACCTCCTGAAGTTGAAACTCTTATCATGTTCATTTTACAAATGAAGAAACTGAAGATTACACAGTAAACTGAGCAATGTCGCACACTTTTGAAGCAAAACAGATTTAAAACCCATTCTTTCTGAGATTCCGGAATCTAGATTTAACCATAACAACCTGTACGTCATTGAGGCTGAAAAGTGTTTTGCTTATTAGCCATCATGTAAATGCCTGTTAAACTTTTTCTGTACCATGTAGATGCCTATCGTTCATTCAGTCATGTACAGCAGGTCACATTTCTTAACGTGAGAGCACCTATCATCAGAATCTGTGAAAATCTGCCCGCCTGTGTCGCTGGAACCACGCACTTCCCTCTGTTCCTGACACTGGTCCCTCATTGCAGGTCAGCGACATCATCCACTTACTCTCAAATGTTGGCTGGCCTCCCAAGCTATAATCCAGTACCCCTGCATTTAATTCTATATCTAAATTAAATCTATAATTTAGATATATATAATTAAATCTATAATTTAGAAATAAATTAAACCTATAATTTAGATATAGATAAATTCTATATCTAAATTTAATTCTATATCTAAATCTACCTTTCTAAAATGCAGACCTGCCACAATGCATGAGAAAATATTCAAAACTCTTAAAAGGTTCAAAGATTCTTTCATGCCCTGGCCCTTGCCAACCTCTTTGGCATCTTTTTTTTTTTTAACTACTCACCACTCATTAAGCTTCAGTCATACTAAACTGCTCTAAGTATAGCTCCCCAAAGAAAGCAAGCTTCCCTGGCTTCTAGGCCTTTTGAATAGGGCTCCATCTGCATAAGAACATTTCCATTTCCCCATCTCTCCTACTCGTTTCCATTCTCTTTACTTATCCACAGTTCACCTTAGGATCATATCCTCCTCCCTCCTCTGGAAATCCTTCCCTGATTCTCAAAACTTCAAAGTGTTCCATGTCCCTCTAATTCATACGTCATAACTTAGTCACCAATGTGACTGCATTACAACGTGGGGCCTGCGGGAAGTGATTAGGTCATGAGGTGGTAGCCTCATAAATGGGATTACAGCCTTTATAAAAAAGACCCCACAGGGCTCTCTCAGTCCCTTTCTGCCAAGTGAGGACACAGTGAGAAGACAGCCATCTATGAACTATGACTTGGCCCCTCATCAGCTATCAAATCTGCTGGTGCCTTCAACCTGGACTTCCCAGCATCCAGAACTGTTGGAATCATGTTCCAGAGACAAGCAACTAACAGAAATTCTTGAGTTTGCAGGATGGCAAATAAAACAACAACAACAATTTGGTGAAATGCTGAAACTCCCTCCACTTGTAAGCTAACAAAACTGACTGAAATCGTTGGAACCAACATAGCCAATTAGAGTCTGCGCAGAACCAGTTTGCTAAGGTCACAGCCCAAACTGCCACTGCATGTTTCATACTAACTACTCCCAAATTTGCACATGCGATCCATGAGGTAGCATGAAGAGACAACTGCACAGGTAGCATGAAGAGATAACTGCACAGACCTCCTACTTCCTTCCACGAATCACCTACTAATCTCAGAAACGACCCCTAAACCTTTCCTAATACAATTACTGTCTTAAAGCCAGTTTAAAGAGACAAAATTGAGCTGCACTTGTCTCCCCGTGAGCCAAATTGCAATAAAAAGCTTTTCTTCTCCCAAAAACCTGGGTCATAGCGTTGGTTTTTAGCATACTGGGCAGCATGCCCCTTTTGCTTGTTAATGCTGTGAGAAATAAATTTCTGTTGTTTATAAGCCACCCAAGTTAGAGTATTTTGTTATAGCAGCCTGAATGGACTCAGACACCATACCACGTATCCTACTGGATTCTAAATGTCTGTCTGTTCCCCAAGTTCCTTATGAACAGGGTCTGGGTCTTTTAGCCTCTATACCATCCTTCCATCTAGGACAGTGCCTGTATTCAACACCTATATTCAACACCTATATTTGAATATCTCCACTCCAATTTAAAAAAAAGGATAGTAACCTCTTATTTGTATAATACTTCATAGCTTATTCACTCTCATTAGATTCTCTCCTAATGCTGATGCTATTTATTCCATTTGGATTAAGTCAGGAGTAAAATCAAAACTTTCATGGAACTGGCTTTATTCAATGAGCCAACTAAAAATAAGCTGTCCATATCACTATTATATAGCAATAAAAAGCATATTAGAAAATAAGTTGTCCTTTTTATTGTTCCTGAGTAATAAGGCAAGTCTATCATTAATACCAGTCCTAAAACCAAGTTACATTTTTAAAAATCAAGGGAGTCATTTACGAAGGTACTTCATTCATCTACTTACTCTATTAAGCGCTTTGGAGAGGAGCCACTTTGATGGAATTCATCCGCGTCATAGAATTCATCTTCACTGCTAGAATAGGAGAACTCTGGGACTGTATTTGGAGACAAGTTGACATGGCTTGGAGAAGTAAGACTGCTACTAGGTGGTGAATGGCCACTGCCTACGAAGTTAAAAAGTTTTAATTAGAAAATTATGTGGTGACTGAGGGGAAGAAATCAGAAAGAGTTTGGTTAAGTTGATAAAGATCTCCACACTATTTGTAAAGAATATTAACCTTTATACTACACACAGAAAAATGCAAATTATGTTACAGAAAGGGGACATAGCCTTTTAAATAAATGGAAAAAAAAAAACTATGTCCTCCTTTTACAATTAAAGCTTAATTTATCTCTAATGTTAGGTGGAGAGCTCTTTTGATTACACGAGTTTTGGTGTTAGAAGTCCCACAACAGACACCAGTACCAATGGGAAGCCAAGTCTTATATTTTGCCCTGAAGATCCAGATACCTAAAGATGTAGCAGCAAGTGAATAGGAATGCAAAATGGAAAGAATCCCAAGACCACAGGAACATTAAAATATTGCTCAGCATATCATACTCATCATCAGTCAATACTTTTTTTGCAGTCACATACACACACCATCTAAGTTCCTAACTTTTTTTCACTATCCAAATTCCTAACTTCTTTTTCACCAATATTTTTTTGCAGTCACATAGAAAACACACATATCATCCAAATTCCTAACTTCTTTTCCACCTAAGACAGATGCTTGGGGTTTAGGGACAGAGATAAAAACAGAGGGCTATTATAAGAAAAATGTAGAAAAGACTCAGAAAAATATCTTTCTACTCCTAAACAGTCTAACTGAAGAAACAGAAATTAATGGAGATCCAGAGAAAGAATCTCTGAGATGATCATCTGGTACCTTGCCAAGTAATAAAGAACAGGAAAAAAAAAAAGGATCAAATAGACCAAACCAGTAGAGTGATCAATTTACTGAGCATCTATGTGCTGTCAGGTAATTTGTATCAATCTACTACAGTTGTCTGGTGAATATTAAATTTGATTAAGTCATTGCTGGCAATCTAAATCCAGGGCCAAAGTTCTGGAAGACACTGAAGACAGCATACAAATAAATCCAGAGGGCTGGGTCCAGTGGTTCACGCCTAAAATTGGGAGGCCGAGGTGAGAGGAGTGAGAGGAATGCCTGAGCCTGAGCAGAATCAAAAAAAAAAAAAAAGAGAGAGAGAACATTTCCTTTTCCTCTTAGTTCTTCTTTTAGAGAAAAAAAGAATTTAAAGTTGTTTGCTAAGTTGAGCTACCTTTGGAATTTCCAAAATAAGCTTTACCTTTTAGGGGGTAAACTTTTTGTATTATGTTAAAAATATCTTTGTGAATATGACAACTAAATGTGGCAGACTAATCTGTTCTTCTCCATAAGTTATTGAACCATATATGTAGGAATGGGCTAAAAATTTATGAGTGGCTCTGGATATTTTATTTATTATTTTATTTTATTTTATTTTAGAATTGTTAGAGTTAGAGCCAGAGTCTTACTCTGTCACCCAGGCTGGATGGCAGTGGCACACTCACAGGCACCACAGCCTCTAACTGCTGGCTCAGATGATCCTTCTGTCTCAGTCTTTCAAGTAGCTGAACTACAGGTCCGCGCCACCATGCCTAGCTAATTTTTTTTAAAAATTTCTTGTAGAGATGAGGTCTTGCCAAGTTGCCCAGGCTGGTCTGAACCCATGGGCTCAGGCAATCCCCTCACCTCGGCCTCCCAAAGTGCTGGGATTATAGGTGTGAGTCACCGTGCCTGGCTGGAAATTTTCTCTGATTGGAATAGGAAAAAATAGCCTAAGAGTTACAAATGATTAAATAACATGCAAACACTCCAGGTGAACACGCAACTGAAAATGCATCTAGGAAGAATCTGAGTTTGAGTGGGAAATGCAAACAAAAGAGCTGAGAATGATTTATGAGAGCAAAGCACATGATTTCTTATCTGTTACTTTTTTGTATGAGTGAGAGAGATAAAGAAATAAAGGTAGAGAAGATGATATTAAGATGAAAAAATCAGGCCAGGCATGGTGGCACACGCCTGTAATTCCAGAACCTTGGGAGGTAGAGGCAAGAGGATTGCCTGAGCCCAGGGGTTTGAGACCAGCCTGGGCAACTTGGCAAGATCTCATCTCTACAATAAATAAAAAAACTAGCCTGGGGTAGTGGGGCATGCCTGTAGTTCCAGCAACTTGGAAGGCTGAGGCAGAAGGATCTGTCTGAGTCCAGCAGACCAAGGCTACAGTGATTGTAAGCATGATATCTCTTCTAAAATAATAGATTTTTAAAATATCTTCTAACTGAAATAATTTTCAGAAGATAATCTCTATCTTCTGGGATAATTTTTACTAAAATTAATGTGTATAAGGAAGAGGGCAACCCTCTTGGTTCCTCTCCTGCTGTGGGAGCTTTTCTGTCCTCTCAATAAATCCTGCTTTCTTAATTTAAAAAAAAAAAAAAGGAAGAGGCCCTCACTTTTTCAAAGTTTGTAACTAGTTTTAAGTATTTTCAAACAGACAAATTCTGGCTGTTTCAAAATTCTGACATAAAAATACAACAACAACAAAAAACAGATACTAGTTTTATTTATTTATTTATTTGAGTCAGGGTCTCATTCTGTTGCCCAGGCTACAGTACAGTGGAACAATCACTGCCTACCATAGTCTTGACCTCCTAGACTCAGGCGATCCGTCTGCTTCAGCCTCCCAAGTACTGGGACTACTGGCATGCACCACCACACCCAGCTAATTTTTTAAGGTTTTTTTGTAGAGACAAGGTCTTGCGATGTTGCCCTGGCTTGTCTTGAAATCCTGGGCTCAAGAGATCCTCCTGCCCTGGTCTCCCAAAATGCTGGGATAACAGGTGTAAGCCCCCATGCCTGGCTTGGTACCACTTTATAAGAAGTTAGCCAAAACATCACAACATCTTCAAATTGCATTTTCCCAAAAACTTCAAGTAAGAGAACTAATGTTGACCTTTTTCCTTTCAGGCATCCTCTCATGCTATTAAATATTAAAAACCAAAGTAACAGCATCAGTACCTTTATTAATTCAATTCAAACTTTAAAATGGAGCCTAAAATCACATGGTAATTATTCATTATTATATAAGAAAAACTCTACCCCAGGGGAAATAAAGATCCATGAAGGAACAATAGGGGCTGCTCTCCCACCTACTCGAGAGTAGTTTGGGCTCTGGTTTTGGTCTCTAGGCTTAACAGGGACAAAAGCACCGCGTGTTCCCTTGAGTTTGGTTCTACAGGTTATTCAACATACATTTAATTAGTTTTTAAAAAAGAAAAATCTAAGCCGGGTTCAGTGGCTCAGCCTGTAATCCTGTGCCTTTGGGAGGCTGAGGTGAGTGGATTGCCTGAGCCCACAAGTTTGAGACCCACCTGGGTAGCGAGACCTCATCTCTACAATAAATCAAAAAAAAAGCCGGGCATGGTAGCACATGCCTGTAATTCCGGCTACCTGGAAGGCTGAGGCGGAAGGATCGCCGGAGCCTAGCAGGTCGAGGGTGCGGTGGCAGGGAGCGGCCACTGCATTCCAGTCTGGGCGACAGAGTGAGACTCCAACTCAAAAAAAAAAAAGAAAAATCTAATCTGTAACATTGTTAGTATCCCTAAATAGTATAAAGAAAAAATAAAGACTGTAAGTCTAAATGAATTAAGAAAATGCAAATTAAAATGAAGTATCTTTTTTCTGCCTATAAAATTGGCAGAAAAATAAAAGACTGATAAATGTTTCCTTAAAAAATACACATGTACCACGGATGCTGTGCAAGGATAACACTGAAGTATTGCCTATAACAGAAAAATACTGGAAACAAATGTCCATCAGTGAAGAAAACAAGCAATACCTGCCGGCAGCTGTAAAAAGAATGCCAGAGACCTAACTATACGAACATGGAAAGCTTTCTAAGCGCTCTCTGCTAAAGAAAAAGAGCCACATGATCTTGTTTAGATTAAGGCAAAATGACAATAAAAAACACATAATCCAAGGAGATTAGAGTAGGGAGAGTGGAGAAGATGTTCAGTGTTTATTCTCTATACTTCCATTCAGCTGACTCCTTTATAATGAGAAATTCTGCAAGTCTAGCTTGAGTACTTTTCTTTTTGAGACAGGGTTTTACTTTGCCACCCAGGCTGCAATGCTGTGGCATGATCTCAGCTCCCTGAAGCTTCAACTTCCTGGATTCAAGTGATCCTCCTGCCTCAACCTCCTGAGTAGCTGGGACTACAGGTATGTGCCACCACACCTGGCTAATTGAGTACATTTAAAAAAAGTCAATAGAGATTCCCCAAATAAATCCCAAGGTAAACAAACAAAATTCTGTCATATTTTATTTTATTTTAATTATAATTACTCTAAAGCTTCTGGTTCAATCACAAAGTTAAACACTTCATATATGGAATTATAATGTTAAAACTAAGATAAACGGACAACACATATTTTCAACTCACCCCATCAGAGGTCAAACACAAGTCTCAAATAGTAACAGGGAGTTACAAGAAATAAAGGAATGACACAAAGCTGTACCTGTACTATTTGGTGTTGGAGTCTGATGATGTCCCAAGGTAGCCAATACAGGTCCAACTGGCAGTGAAGATGGACGCTGCTCTGACTTGCACAACTGAGCAGGTTCTAGGAGATTGAAATATGCAAAATAAGCTAGAGAAACAGCCAAACACTCTGCTGACTGCAGTTGTTTAGGATTCAAAATCCTAAAGACCAGAACAATTTGAAATGAGGTTCCATGAAGTCCAGTTTCATGCTACTCCTTCGTTCTCACCTCATAGCCTCTTAAACTAAATGAGGTTATGTTGCAGAGCACTGGGATATATCATGGCAGGACAGCAAAAGACCAGCCATGGCAGGCTGATGACCTTGTACGACTGCTCTGTAAGCTAGCAAATGCTTCTGATGATAATATATCTCTGAGCTTCAAACCACATGAAGTCTGAAATGGGCACCTCCACCTCTATAGTCTCTTGAGAGATAATAATCTAATTCTCTTAAGGAGCAAAACTTCACAAAACAACTTCACATACTTATAAGTTTGTTTTTTTTGAGAGTCTTGCTCTGTTTTCCTGGCCTGAGTGCAAAGGCATGCATGATCATAGTGCACTGCAGCCCTGACCTCCTGGACTCAGCTCACCCTCTCATCTCAGTCTCCTGAGTAGCTGACACTACAGGTGTGTGCCCTGATGACAAGTCTTTTTTTTTTTTTTGGTAGAGATGAGGTTTCATTATGTTGTCCAGGCAGGTCTTGAACTACTCAGCTCAAGCAATCCTCCTGCCTGGGCCTCCTAAAGTACTGGGATTACAGGCATAAGTCACTATACCCGGCCCACTTTATCAGCAAGCATCATAAATTTCATTCTTCCCTTCCTCGTTATCTTAAAATCTACCATGAACAAACTGTCTATGTGGTTCAGAGCTATAAGAAGTACCTGAAAACACAACATCCTTGGATTATCCTTATTAAGGTATATTAATTTTTCTCTGAAATTTTAGTCATGAATTCTGAGTCACAGGATTCTGTCTTAGGAGCTAAGCCAAGTCTAAGTAACCATGTTTGTTTTCCATCTCACTTTGAAAACCAAAACCCCTTCTGCCATACTTCAAAGGTCCCAATACCAAAAAACCACTACCACTTTTTCTAGTTCATTTTCAGCTGTATATTTTTGTGATTCATTTTATTAAAACAAACAAAAAACAAAGAAAACAATACGAACAACAAGAGGTAAGATTACTATGACAGTCACACAAATTACGTTTTTTTTTTTCCCATCAGTGAATCTATGAAACATTTTCCAAATTCTGTACCTGGAGGTAAGACAGTCTGGGAAGGCATTGTGCTGATCACAGGTTCCAAAGGACTAGGGTGATATATTGCATCTACTGGATTAATAGTACTCTGAGATAAAGAAACACAGAATGTTATATTTAATTAAATGCCCTTCTCATGATGACCCTCCCAAGTGAATGAAACGCCCACATTTCTGACAGCAAAATCCTGACGGTAGCTATATAGATATGCTGATTAAAATACAAAGAAGAAATGAAACACCTTTTCTATACAGAAGCGGAAGAATTCCTTTAACAAAGCATAGTAAGGAGAGAGAAATGAATGAGTCTCTGTCACAGAAGAAGGTAAAGTTAAATGAAAAAACGTAGGAGTTGTAAGATGACGTGGTAGATTTCGGGAAACCAAAATAATAACCCCTCAATTCACTTCAGTGCTTCTCAAATTCTTAATTCACCACAAACACTGTTTCTCTATCAAAGATGAAGAAGCTCTCTCTCTCCTGCTCTGGTGTTAAGCCTTCTATCTGCAACCAGTTAATGCACCTGCACCTCCTATAACCTATAACCTAATCCTCCCACTCCACCCTCCTGCTACCTTTCATCATAATACACCACAGAGAAGATTGTCCCTTGGCATCAGGGGCTTGGTTCCAGGATCCCTGAGGATACCAAAACCCACAGATGCCCAAGTGCCTGTCATAAAATGATGTAATGTAGTATCTGCATATAACCTATGCATATCCTCTTGTATAACTTAAATCATTTCTAGATTACTTCTGATACCTAATACAACATAAATTGTTGTTATGCTGTAGTATTCAGGGAGTAATGACAAGGAAAAAAGTCTACACATGTTCAGTACAGAGGCAACTTTTTACTCCACATATTTTCAATCCAGTTAGCTAAATCCTTGGATGCTGAGGGCTGACCTCATAGGTGTCTAGTTTTATGGTCACTAAAGAGAAAGAGATGTCTCCCAATTGGGGAGTGTGGGAAACAGGGCTTTCTTTCGGAGGACTTAGAAGAGAGAGGGAAAAAAAATCAAACTTGGGGAGAGGGGAGTCCACGTTTCTCTGATTCCAAGCCAAGAAATTATTCTGACAACATGAAGACATTTTAAAAACAAGACGGCATGGCTTATGATTTGGGAGGGTGAAGTGGGGAATAAGGGGAGATTTTAAACCAAGGCTTTTGTCAGAGTAAAGTTCAGATCCATCATTTAGAAGACTAAACTGTTCAAACTCAAGAAATAAAAATTCTTAAAAAAAAAAAAGTTCTCAGCTGGGCGTGGTGGCTCAAGTCTGTAATCCCAGCACTTTGGGAGGCAAAGGCAAGAGGATTGCCTGAGCTCAGGGGTTTGAGACCAGCCTAAGCAACATGGCGAGACCTCATCTATACAACAAATCAAAAAATTAGCCAGGCGTGGTAGCGCGCAACTGTAGTTCTAGATACTTGGAAGACTGAGGCAGATGGATCGCCTGAGCCCAGCAAGTTGCGATGCCCATGAGTGTGCCACTACACTCCAGCCTGGGCGACAGAGTGAAACTCTGGCTCAAAAAAAAAAGTAAGTTATTTACATTTTCTTAATCTGGAAAACTAAACTTCAAATATGTATTAGGTAGCGCTTACAACACAAAATACAAAATGAAATTATGAGGGAAACATTTTGCCAATGAATAAACCCAAAAGTATTTGTAAAAACTTAAAAGCACTTAACAGTAAAAACTGAGATAATGGTAAAGTCTTTGTAGTATTCTCATTTAACATCTAAGTTTTTTAAAAATTTAAACAAAAAAATCCTTTCTCTACATGAATATTTAAAAATCATTAAATCAACTCTCTTAAATCAAGAGACCTGAACACAAGAATTCTGATTCTTGTCACTACAACAGTCTACCATAATATTATAACTGGAAAAAAAGGATACTTAGCAAAGATGCCCTGAAAACAATCAGTAATGATCAAAACCCAGAAAAGAGAAGATGCGAATGTTTTGAAGCACTGAAAAAAACAAAGAAACAGAGACATGAATTTTGATTCCTTAGAATCCTTAAGTCTCTAATCCTCTATGGACCTCAATTTCCCCGACTGCAAAGACTCTGGATTTATATGGTTGCTGTGGGTTTTCTGGTTATTGCACTGATTATATTTTCAGATATGGGACCAAGCCATGATAACTAAATGAGTATCTCAACAGTCTTGGCATTGTTCTTAAGTTCCTTATTCACACAGTGCTTTTCTCCAAAGGATTCCAAATGCTTTATAAAGGCAAAACCCCCTATTAACACTCTGTTCCACAGGAGAGAAAATATATCATCTCCTTACCTGTCCCACTGAAAAGACTAAGAAATAAAATCACTTTGGAACAGGAGACCAGAATTCTATCTTTTGAATGTAATCTTTTTTTTTTCGGATGAAATGTTCTACGATTAGGCTTGTCAACCAAAGAAAATACTTCAAGACATTTCTGTATTGCTAAACAAAAATTATGGGAAGCTCAACTTTGGACTGAGCTCCTGCACTAGGCCCCAAAAGACTCGACCAAAACAAAACGGAGTCACTCATGTTAACTGTCACATTCTAAAACTGAAACTCTAAGAAACAAGGAGATCCCAAAATAGACCAGTTTTTTTTTTCTAAAAACAGTAGATTCTGGTCTACCTAAGGAGTCAGTGTAGCAAGAAAGTGCTCTCTGCTTTCACCCTTAAAGAAAAACAAACCTGATGCCGGCCAGTCAATTTTTCCTCTATTGCTCTGTGTCCTTACTCCCATTTTACAAGACCCACTGTGCTGCCATTGCCCACTGAGGTCTCTTATTCTATTTTATAGAATGGAGGCTGCCCCAATTCACGAATCTTGAAAAAAACATTAATTAAATCTACAACTAAATTTGTTGTGATTTTGACTTTTGACAATACTCAATTTTTTTTTGTTGTTGATAGAAAAAATAACTATGCTATGCTTATCAACTTCAGTCAATCAACTTCAGGTAAAAACTATGTCACATTACAGTCTATGCCTTGCTTTAAAATGAATGTGCAGAGCTTAAGAAGTGCAAACAATAATACTGCTTTAATCTGCTATGATATTAATGAAACTCATGTAATATAATATATAATAAAGCATATATACATATATGTATGCATAGCTAACATTTATTGAATACTATGTGCTCATTCTATACCTTAAAACAAATTTCTTAGTATTTCAGCTTTCTTTATAGAAGAGGAAATTACGACTCAGAAAGGTTAAGTAACTTGCCCAAGCTCACATAGATAGTGAATGGCAGGGCTGTTTAGTTTAAACCCAAGCAGTCTATCTCTAAGACTGAAACTATGAACAGTTCTTTTATTTCCTCAAAATAAAATAAATAAATAGTCCCTTAAACAAAGGATTCAAATATATTTTGCTACAAGTTTAAATTTTTTCTGAGCATAAATTTTCTAGATGTTTTTAATTGCAAATGATCAAATATTTTTGGTATGCTTTATAAAACCCTGCCTATTTTTAAACATAATATGAAGTAATTTGGTTTTGAGAAGAAAAAAGATAAAAATAACAACCAACATGATTCTTCTTAGGAGTCTTTGGGAACCATGAAATGCTAGACAACACAGTCTTTCTCATGAGGCTCACAATCTTCAGCTTTGAACTGAGAAAAGTTTCAATGTATTTAATTCAAATTTCAATAATGCTTATCTTATCTCTGCTTTCTTAAGAAATATGCAAACAATATAGAAGTTTAAAATTTTTTACATTTAAAGCAAATATAAAGATAACATTCTCATTTTTTTCAAGTATAATCATGAGTTATTTTTGAAGATTTACAAAATGTGTTTCCAGATCTCAGAGAAGCTGACACTGTGAAGCCCAGGACAAAAAAAAAGAGGCTGCCTCCTGTTTCAGAAATACAGTCTGAACAGAAGTCACTCACAGTTACCACAGAACTAGGTAGCACAAACTACAAACCTTCAAACTCTTTTATTTCCAGCTGGGAAATATTAACTACAAAATTTTCTTTTTAGAGGGGAAGTTGTATATAAGGAAGGGTAAAAAGACAAGAGAGAAAAGAATAAGAAAATGGCTGTAAATGAAAGACTTCAAGTTGTAACTCAACAAAAATGCAGTCTATTCCACGTTGACCATGATAGTTAACACAATACAAATTAAAAAAAAATAAGAAAATAATAGGAACCTATAAATATACTTGATAAAGATACATTTCAATAGTGCACCCCCCTTTTGTATGAAGAAAAAAGAAGTTTGACAAGAAATGCAGCACTAGGTTATGCGTTATTTAATTGTAAAAGCTGAGTTTTCATACCATGATTAACCCTTCAAGTTAACACATGCAAAGTGACTTCAATCTGAACCAACACTTAGAAAAAATTTCAGGCTGTTATCTCCCTTCCAAATGATTGCTGAAAGATGGCCAATTTTAGGAGCTCAAGGAAAATTGCAAGAGTCAACAACAAAAAGCAGTGAGTAGGTAAAAAGAATGATTTGCGTTGAAAAATGAGTAGAAATTCAGGCTTCTCCTGACATGACTGGTTATAATGCTCTGCAGAAGTAAAGGGAAACAAAGATTAGATTAAACTTACTATAATTCCATCTGCGTGCTTCTCTGCATTACTCTGGTCCTTAAGGAAAAATGTTAAAAATATTAACTTCATTCTTACATTTATGAATTCCTTGTGTACTTTTCCTATTAAGAAAGCTTATTTTACTAGGTAAATGATAATGTTAGAATATTGCTTCTCTGCTTCAACTAAGATTCTATTTGTATACTCCTAGCCAAACATAATTCTAATACCAGCTACAAAACAACACCAGTAACATGGCAATTATTTCTCTATACAGAAATTTAATTAAGTTAACTGTAGATATATCCCACAGAACTGTAGTCATGCTCAAAATTACAGGCAGAAAGTGATCTCCAAATGGATGAACCTTGAAACCATGATGCTAAGTGAAAGAAGCCAGTCACAAAAGATTCAACTTGCGTGAAGTGTTAAGAATAGACAAATCTAGAGACAGAAAGTAGATCAGTGTTGCCAAGGGCTAGATGAGGGAGAGAGCACCGTTGCAAAGTGAGGGAGGTCCACGTGC